TTTCAGATGATATTTTTCCATACAGCTTCAGATCATCCATGTAAAGGAGATGGGATAGTCTGGTAGATGTTTTTGATGTTTGATAGCCATGTCCTGAGTTATTCAGTATTGTTGACATAGGAAACAGTGCAATAACAAATAGTAATGGTGACAATGAATCTCCTTGAAATATTCCTCTCTTAATATTAACCTCTCCCAGTCTCTCACCATTGATCTTCAACTGTGTCTTCCATTGTGCCATCGATCTTTGCACAAATTTTGTGATGTTTCTACTGACTCCTGTTATTTCTAGGCACTTGATTATCCAGTCATGTGGAAGAGAGTCAAATGCCTTTTTGTAGTCAATCCATGCCACATTCCGGTTGGTCTTCCTTTTCTTCCAAAATCGTTTTGTCTATTAGGAGTTGATCTTTTGTTCCTCTGCTATTGGGGCGGTTTCCTTTCTGCTCAGGTGAAAAGAGATTGTTTTCAACTAGATGCTGTTGTACTTGCATCAGCTACCATACCAGTTAGTAATTTGAAAGTTGTTGGTAAGCAGGCAATTGGCCTATAGTTGCCTGGTGTTGCCCCTTTTGCTGGATTTTTCATTATTAGGTAGGTTTTCTCAGTTGTTAGCCACTTTTCAATTTCTTCTCCTTGTAGTATATTGTTGAACTGCTTGGCAATGAGTGGGTGTATAACAGTTAGATGTTTCAACCAAAACCCATGCAGTTCATCTTCACCTGGTGCTGACCAATTTTTGGTTTTCCTTGCTCTTTTTTCTACCATTTTTGTTGTTATTACTAGTTCTTTCATTTCACCTTCTGTTCTATTTGCATCCACCTCTTTTAACCAAGCCACATCCTTGTTGTATTTCTTTGGGTTATCCCATATCTGCTTCCAGAACTGCACTGTTTCTTCCTTGTCAAATACTGACTGATTCATTGCACTTTCTCCATTGATGGATTGGTAGAAACGTTTCTGATTGGATTGAAATTGGAGGTTCTGCCTATAGTTTGCAATTCGAGCTTCATATCTACTGATTTTCCTGGCTATAGCTATTATTTGTTGCTTTATTATTTCCAGTGCTTCCTTGATCTTCCTTGTTTCCAAGTGGTATTTCTTGATTAGGTATTCTTTGGTCTTCTTGTTCTTCAGCTTCTTTTCTTTCATCTGTTCTAGCTTGCTTGCATGTGATCTTAACTTGCTGATCTTATTTTTTAGTCTAACTTTCCATTTTTGTGGTGCAGTTTGTTTATTTTTCTTCTTTGTTGATTTTGCATCCCAGGTATTCAGTTATAACTGCAGCTGTGCTGTATATTAATTGGCTTGTTTCTTGCAGTGAATTGGTACTTATACTTGATATTGCAGTATTTGCATCTTTTAATGCTTGTGCTAGCTGTTTCTTTGGAACAAGCTTCAATGCAGGCAGCCTTATTCTGTTGTTTTTGTGCTGTTCTAGATGCTCAGTTATTCTTTGTTTCAATTCTTTTATTTCTTTAGTTAGAGGGTTTTGTTCTTCCTGAGGAAGAGGTGCCTGGTTTCCAAATGAGAACAGTTGTATATCTCTACTGGATTCTTTCACTGCCAACTCCCCTTGGTTTGCCTCTACATTCTGAATTACTTCTTGTAAGGCTTTGATTTCTTTGCCCTGGGTAAATCTTTGCAGTTCGTCCAATTCTGTTTCTGTAAATACTTTATTTCGTATTATAAATCGGCGTTGATCTGCTAGTCTCTGTTCTGTTATTTCTGATTCTGGATGTTGTTCTTTCCAGAACTGGTGCATTCGTTTTAGATATCCTCTTCTTGTTGGACTTGATCTGTAGTAACAGATCATTATTTCTTTGTTTTCCATCACTGTGTATCTGCGACGGGTAAACACCTTTTCTTCCAGTAGTTCTGCAGCTGCTGGCCCTGGTTGCTCAGCCAACAGTTCTGAGTCCTGTAACCCATTTTCTACCAGATATCCAGGAACTCCAATATCTAGCAAGGACCTTGTTAACCCGGGTGACATCCGAGCCGGTATAGCATTCTGAAATTTATGTCTCACCATATTTTTTATGGGAGAGACACTCTTTGTCTGACTCCTCTGATGAGACCTGTCCAGTATGGTTGAACCTCTGGCATAGCTCTCATCTTCCTCAGAGTACACAAGCCCCACAACCACATCAAGGTAGTGCCTCACTGGGCATTATTATTATTATTTAATCCTAGTGGAAAAAATTCACAAGAATTGGAAAAATCTACTTATCCCTTAAGACTACAAAATAAACCTGAGGACAAGAAAACAGATTGGATAAAATGGACTGTAGTGATGTCAGGAATTTCAGTGAGAAAGAAAGTGATAAGAGAAGCGGAGAGAAAGAAAAAGAAAAAAAATTTCAACAAACATGGAAAGGCAGAAGTCCCGTACAAAGACACTTCACCTGATTTACTTTTTATATCTACAGCAACATTTACGAACATACAGAAAAAAATTTTGATTCAGCAAAATTCATTGATTAAGAAAGATACTGGGCAAAGAAAAAAGACTAAAGTGGAAACCAACAAAATAGATGATAGGACTTACCAGAGAGAATACTTAAAAAAGAAACATTTGTTTGAATACAATTAAAGAAATAGAAAAGTTTTGGAATATATATGTCATTCTAAGAGAGATCAATTCCCTAAATAATATAGTATGCTTTTTCCCCTTTTTTATTCTTTTTTTTTATATGAGTAATATAAAAAAGTTGAAATGACTTAGATAAGGGAAATGTTTTAGATACTTTAAGAAAATTATAATGGATAAAAATGTTTTGAATAAGAGTTAAAGGACTAGATGACTAGATATATTAAATGGAATGTTTAAAGATTAAACATATTTTTAATTATGGTTAAAAAGAATAAGAAACTTAGGAAATAAATATATATTAGCTTAGGAGGGATATATATTTTAAGTAGTATGTTATTTTTTATGTTTTTTTACTCTTGCTCTCCTTTCTTTTTTTCATTGTTCTATCTATTCCTTAAGAAATGTAAAAGTGTGAGATGGTTCATATAGAAAAATAGAGTTAAATTTTTAAATGTAATTAATTTTTGAGAAAATCTTGACCAGTGAGAATACTTAGAATCTGATGGGAGGAACAAATTAAAATAAGGACTGTAACAGGATCTATGATAAGGCAACCAGAACGATTGGATAGAAAAGTAATATTATATTGATATGACTATTAGTTTCAGGAATATTGGGGAAATTATATATTTAATTGTTATCTATCAAACCAATAAGAATTGTATTAACTCAATGTTTGCAAAAGAGGATATTTTGGGAAAAGAGGAAATCAACTAAAACCATTATGTGGATTATGGATTATAGAAATCAATTGTTAATGATTGTTTTACAAATGTAACCCAGTCAACACACTGTTCACCAATTATTGTGATTTATGTTTTTAAAAAATATCAATAAAATATATTACAATAAAAAAGATCAACCAAAATATTAAAGGGGGAGTAAGGAAAGTAAAAAGAAAGGAGCAGAGAATAGGCATTAGAGTTGGAATCCTATTCTTGACACATAGGGGCTGTAGTTTTCAGCGGGACTCTGTGCTTTTATCTCCTTTCTTGTGGGTCCACAAGTCATAAAAGGGCCAAGTTTGAAGACCCCTGCTATAAACTATGGATTTGTCAGATAGACTGATACTTTTAGAGCAGTCAGAGACTGTGATTTTAGTAGTTCATACAGATTTTTGGCAATAGAAAGAAATAACTTTCCTATCATCATGCCATTCCATTACTGCAGACTCCTCAAGGATACTTTTTAAAATAAAATTTCGTAACTTCAATATTTCTCCCACCGGGCATTCTTTCTACACATGAAGCCATCAGCTTTCCAAGATTTAGAAGATTAAGATAGCAGAAATAACAGCAGCAGGCTAAGCAAGCTTCTTGTAAATAAACAGAAAATGAAAAATAACCTTTCTTTTGAAATGCAATGCACTTTTTAATAAAAGTATCTTCCCAATGGAAAATGATGCAGGTGTTATCATGCTTGGGTTTGTACAACTCCTGAACTTAAAACAGATCTTTCCAAAATCAGTTTGCTTAAATAGGAAGTCGGGATGTAAATCAAATAAATTTACAAAATATAATAGAATACTTTACTGGCCGAGTGTGATTAGACACAAAATTAATTTTTCTATAATGTAAAGCAAGTAAATTATGTTATGCTTTAGCGATATAAGCCTTAATTATGTGCAATTATCCCCTCTCCCTTACTATTGCAAGCAGGATGGTATGTCGTTTATAGGTTTTAGTGCTCCATTGCCGAAATTGAGGGGGGGGGGAGAACTACTATACAAGCTGCGACACATGGTTATGCTAAATTTGGGATATCACCGGGGGACAATAATCAAAGAAATCATAAATTCTTTGTCCATACACCGGAGATATTGTAAATTGCTTATCGTTGCAATGTATAATTGTGAGAAACGTCATTCCTTGAGACTGATCCTGACCCCAAGAGGTTTGAACTGGAATTATTCCTCTTGCAATGTCTCCTGGTCTTGGTAGTCCTTTCGGCCGATTTTTCGGTACATACCTATTGCATTGATTGCTGACTAGGGAATTCTGGGAGCCTACACATCTTAAAGTCCCTGCGATTGAAACACACTGATCTACACAGAAGTATCTCTCTCTTTCATTGCAGAATAAAACTTTTAATTTCCAACGGACTCTCAACGTGTTTAAGTCCTTAACATCCTGCAATGAAGACCGACAACTCTTCCCTCTTCTTTCCTTCCGCATTTGAGCTCAGAACTGTCTTAATTGGTCACCCGCCTCTTCGGCTTTTGATTGGCCGCGACAATGACATTGACGCGTCGCTCCGCCATTGGCATCGGTGACTTTCCGGCCAATTCAGAGAGTCCATGTCAGAAAACACAAGAGCCAATGAAAACGTGCCGTCTCCAACGTCAAGCAACTATTGGAAGCGCCGGAGAGGTGCTCTGATTGGCCGCCCGTGCGGCTGAGGGGCGGAGAGCAGGGGTCTGCTCTCCGGGTTTTCTCGGAGTGCCGCGGCGGAATCGCTTGTGTCTTCAGCGGGATGGGTGTTTTCTCGCAGGCCGGGCCACGGTGGTTCCTCGCACGGGTGACGGTGTGGTTGCCGCTGTTCCTGCTGCTAGCGTCGATCAGCTTGGCTTCTGCTGGTCAGTAAGAGCGTTTCCGGTGGGCTTTGCTTGTCGAGGGGGCCGAGTTTGGGAGGGGAGAACCTGATTGAGAGGGCGGCAGCGGCGGCCCGGTATGGGGGTGAAGCAAAAGGCCGAAAGCCGGTCTGGGTAAAGGGAGGCGGCCAATCGAGAACCGGGTCAAGTGCGTTAGAAGAAATAGTTGCTTTAGTGGTCCTTTCTACCCAACCTCCCAGAAAGGGTATATAAACATCGCAGATTAGTCTCTTTTATCTTACCTTTACAATACTGTCACTAATCGCTTTTTTAATTTTATTTTATTTATATCTCACCTTAATAACTCAAGGCGATGAACATCCAATTAATATAGGCAAGGCAGAGAAATATTCCGTATGGGCCCTCTTTGTGTTTAAAGGCACTTGCTGTGCATATTGTACGTAAGGCTAGACTTCGGGGTTCAGAGCAGAGAACAGGTCCACCTGTTGTAAGGCTCCTACCAGCTTTTTCTAGAGCAGAGCCTGGTAATGATCTGCTAAACAAGGAGTGGAAAGATTTGTTTATTAAGCGCATTAATAAATGTTGCTAAAGATTTTGACACCCCCTTCAATAACTGATGGTTATTGTACATGCTTAATACATGGTTCATATACTGATACATCTATATAAGTATCCAAACAAGTGCATATATATGTATTTGGCACTTACTTGTTATATTTATATCCCAATTTTCCTATAAAAACTCAAGGCAGTGACTATGATTTCCTTTTGCCTATGCAGGAATCTAAATATGATCTATGCCTGCAACTGAAGCCATTAATTCACATTAAAACACAATGTACCAGACATGTTCTAATGCTTTGCTGATAAGATACACATTTGTCTTTTTGCATCAGGAAAGCCATTTCTTGATCATCTTCCCCTCCCCTCTGAAGAATACTAATTTATTGTAATATATTAACAAAATTTAAAAAGCCTCTAATATTTACTGATTATTATATTACATTACATTATATTATTACAAACTAAACTTAGAAAGAGATATGGAGAAAAAGAATAAAAAATGAAAAGAAATATATAAAGGAATGACTTCCAATCTTCATCACAATAAGAATAAGCAAATTTGATAACTCTTTGCATTCCCATAAGGTTACAAAGAAAAAAATTTCCCACAAAAAACTGTTTATTTCCAAAATCTTAAAAGTCTCAATATTCCAAATTCGCCTGGACCCTTAATTTATAACCTTTCTTAGATCAAAATCTATTTAGCTTTTGCTGTTTATTTCCTGTTTTAAGTTTTTAAACTTACAGTTAAATTTTCTTCTGTTCTAAAACAGCCGTAAACTCATCATTCAGATCTCTAATAGCCTTAAGATGGTTAAATAAGCATTTTCTGAAAATGACTAGAAAGTGAGGTTAGCAAAGTCATTGTCCTTTAAAAGACCATAATGACCGTCAGCATGATGGTTGATCCCTTCCTCTCCTGGTACTCCAACCTGTGGGAGATTGTTATCCTGCAGTCTTCTCATGAGGAGCATCCATCCTGGGTTACATGTGGTTAAGTTATCATCTCCTATCATTCTATTCTATTCCTTATCCTTGATGGTTGTCTAGCTTTTTTAAAGACTGTTTACCTTCCCAACCCTTTTCTTGATATTTCTCTACTCTAAAAGTCTATATTTATCTGGCTGGCCAGAATGCTCTGGAAAACACAAGATGCCAGATGGTAATGCTTATTGTTTGTGTGAAATATGTGAGCTCATTTCTGCAGTGTGGAATAGGAGCAAGTTGAAGAATATAAATGAATAAAATAAATTTAGCTATGAAGTAAGTTAATAACAAATAGCAGTTAGGGAGGTTTGTAGTGTTAATGGGTGGGGTAGTAGTTTTTCACTGCCTAGAATGTCTGAGGAAATTGGTTGTCATATATAAAAGAAAAGCAGTGGAGATTGATAACTGAGATAGTTATATTATTCCCAAGAACACCTGGAGAGAGGAATGGCCCAAGGTACCTTCTTGTGGCCTGACCATCAGTGATCTCTCTACTAAACCACTTGATCTTGACTTGCCTCACTTTGTCTGATTGAAATTGAACAGAATTAAGTGTGATTCTGGAAGAAGTGCTACTGCCCTTTATCAGTGGGAATTGTTGTGATTGTTGTGCTGATATGCAAACTATTAAACATATTGTGCAAGATTGCCCATGATATGCATTCTCTAGTTCCCTAGAAGATCTGCATGAAGAAGCACCAGAGGAGATTGCCTGGATAGCTGAATTGGACATCCAGTTATGAGGCCACTGCCATACTTCCATAGAAGTTTTACATGGACTGTGTATATATGTTTACTTCTGTTCTGTCATGTTCTCATCATACCCTATATAAATAATAACTGAGATAGTAAAGTCAGTTTGACTGAGAGAGTAAAGCAGATAATTCTACCATTAAACTGCCCCATTAGTAAATAAAATAAAATAAAATTTAATGTTTTAGTCAAAATGTTGACTAATTTCTCCCTTATTCACACAAAAACCAAGTTGTTTAGTTCAAATTCACCCACATAATCGTCAGAGATGTAATAGTATTTCTATATATTACTTAATCAAGGCTGGATATATGATAACACAAGATTTCTTCCTAGCAAAATGGTAGCATAACCTCTCATATTTAATACTGGTTCATCTCTAGGCATATTTTAGATATATTCACTGGAAATTTCTTCTTGTAGTTGTATGAATATTTGCCTTGAAATAAACCCCATTGAATATAATGCTTGTTAGCTGTTAGAGCATACAGAATTGTATCAGAAAAAAGATAAAATTTTTCTTGATGATCCTAGCTTTGTCATGTTCTTTCTCTCTCTTCCACATGTTTAAAGAATAGCTTTGCTATGAGAAGTGTTACAGAAGTCTTTCACAGAAAACATAGGCAGAACAATGCCAAGGATGAATGCTTTATCTAAGGTGCATTGATAGGATACAGTTTTATTCAGTTGTTTGTCTTATGTTCTCGCTGTCCAAAAATCTGAAAGCGTTTTCTTAATACAATATATTGGCTATAAGGAAAAGTATACTTTGAGTACTTATTACATCCAAACGTATGGTTTGATATTTTATTTTTTTAGAGTACCCAGTTTTGTGAAGCAAAGAAAACAATTCTAGATTAGTAATTTTTAATTGGCACTATATTTCTATACCTATCCTATTACTATTACTTTCAAATAACTAAGACACTATTTTAAAATCCTGCTCTAAAAGTGTTTAGTTAGCTTTGGACTGATGATAATGTTTGCATTTTTGTTTTGTCATTTGTTGCAACTACTGTGAAAGACTTTGTGTAATGGTAGATTATCATCTTTTCCTCTAAAAGTTATATTTCAGTTCAGTTTTATCATTCTTGCAATTCTTCAACACACTAATTGTTTTGCAAAATATTTCTTCTACCACCTGGGTAGCAGGACATGCACCTTCATTATAAATCTATATGATATTTGTTTTCTCCAAATAAGACTGAATTATTTCAAAATTATTGGCTCTATTTTAGGTATAGGTCCTTGCTATCCATATTAACATTGCCATGGAAAACATTTCTGGGCTCATGAATATATATAACTAAAAAGATTCCTTTTCCAGGCTGACTAGGTTCCTGAACATTAGCTTGACTTTAATGCTGGGAATATAATGTAATATTTTGTGGTATATGAACCATCCTTCTGTCGTCTTATTGTCTTGCAAATTTGTAGATTTTAACTTCAGAACTGGCCTTATTGCAGAATTTTAAAAGTATAAAAAAATCATTCCTCCTCCCCATTCTCCTAGTTAGATTTACCTCTTGCTTTTCCTTTCCTTCTGAAAGCTCAAGATTGCCCACCTAGGATTATTTTTACCACAATGGCCTTGTGGAGTATGTTAAGAGATTGCAGTCAGCTCAAAATCAGTCATTGTGTTCCATTGCTTGGAGTAGATTTGAATCTATCTTAATCCAACATGTTTATCACCATGATATGCTACGTTAGTTAGGGAAGACTTGTCTAAAGTTTGTTGAAAATTATATTTGTGATAACATGGATCAATAGTTTTTATTTTTTTGTTGATTCTATAAGTGTTCTTTTTTTCTGTAGTAACTGAACATAATTTGCAATTTCTAGGTGGTTCCTGCATTAATATCCTACCTGATACTTTCTAAAAAAAAATACCTATAATTTGTGTGTATGTGTGCGTGTGTGCTTTAATTTAGCTGATGGGGATTGTAGAAATTACTACTGGTGTCCCATTTGAACTGTGGTCTCATTATCTATAGTTTTACATATTTACCATGGACTAATAGAGGTGAGACCTCAGTATACAATATATGGAAAAAAATTTGCTTATCTTTGGTTTTGCACTTGATTTTTTTGTTACTTGTTGCACGCAACAAATTTTTGTGCATGAGAAAGAACATGATTATAAATAAAAGGATTGGGTTATCTTAACAATATACTTTTAAATGGTCGCAACAGATATTGATAGGTCACCTGTAGCACAAGACTTGTTATAGTAACCAGTCACTTTGGTCAGAGGGATTTGCTTAGGTGGTTATGGAGGAAGTTTGCCTGATCAGGTCTTCAGTTAGTACGGTATTAACATCCAACAATGCAATTGAAAAGCCATTCCACCGAGATTATGAAGAACTTCTTAGAGCAGAATAACTAGAAAAACCAAATGCCATCAATGGAAAGACTACAACGAAGCCACTTGGAGCCATGTGACTAAATTGATGCAAGTGTAAATATTAGTACATTGCACATAAAATCATTCTTGAAGAATTTCTAACAAAAAGAGACTGGCTATAGGCTTTGGATATAATTTTCCAAGACTCAAGGTCTTGTAAATTGCGGTGTTATTGACTATGGTTTATGTTGGAATGGAACTACTCTGAATAACAAGAGTCACATGTATCCATCTTTTTCAAACTCTAGGTTTTCATATTAGAAAAACAATTTAGTTAATTGATCTTGAATTGTTAATAATCCTTATTTTTTTCTCATGGGAATAAATAATTAGCATGTGCCTGTGTTTTTAATATACACCCAGAATAAGCTTTTAAGAAACCAGACCTGAATGTTTATCCTAACAGGGATTGGTTTTTAAAATGTACTTTTTTTTTTTTTGTTGAGTGCTTGAATATAATGAACCTAAGCTAAGACTTCTCTGCTGGCATTTTTTTTTTACAAAATCTTTACCAGGTGAAAAGAAAAAGACAACTAAACAAACAGAACCTGTTTTTCTTATGATATATTGCTTTGGAAAGAACATCTTATCTGCTGACAGTCAACAATGTGTTTGCCTGCAACTTAATATAGAGCTTGTTCCTTCAGAGAGATGTTAACATGATGCAATGAGAATGAAATACAGCCAACTTGCTTCACTTTAAAGATACAAATTATTTCAATACATTTATTAGTTTGATAGTTTAATGGGTTTAGCCTATTGCACACATAATACTAAGGTAACATAAACTTTGCAATTTATTGTGAAGCTGATCATTAAAATATATCATTATTAGTATCTATGCTTTTTAATATGAATTGTTTTCAAGTGAAATCAGTATCTTTTTGATACTGTACAATAGTTTTCTCATTATTATGGATATTAAATATGCTGCTTTTTCTAAATAAATCAAATTAGACTTTATATTACTAAGTCTGGAAATTTTCTAAAACATTACTTCTTAAAGAGTGATTTCTAATTTGCTTTCTATATTATATAATATTGCCCAAAATTTATTGTAGGTTTTTTTCAGTTCCTTATTTTTGGCCCTTTCCATGTATCAGACTTTTTATTTTCTTATATTACCTCTGTTTTGTCTAAAGCATTTTTTTTCTCCTGCCTAAGGATTCAAGCTGATCTAAAAAATTTTTTGAAATAGATGTACTGTAAATAGAAATAAATATCAGTCACATTGTTATTATAATGTGTCTATGCTTAGTGATTATTCAAAATAAAGTAAACTCACATTTTACAGTGAGAGAAAAAAAATACCTTTTACAGGTTTTCAGCATATTGATTAATTTGGAATAACTGATTGAATTAGATCAGCAGTTTAACTTTAAGCTGTATTTTATTTACATACCTCTAGTTATTCCACATTGCCTTTTGCAAATGTAAGATTTCTTTATTGAAACAATTTGTATTTTCTGCTCCAATTGCCAACCATTCTAGATAGTCCTGTGATCTTTTTTAATTAGTGGTGAGCTGTGGTGGCGCAGTGGTTAGAATGTAGTACTTCAGGCTACTTCTGCTGACTGCCGGCTACCAGCAGTTTGGCAGTTCGAATCTCACCGGCTCAAAGTTGACTCAGCCTTCCATCCTTCCGAGGTTGGTAAAATGAGGACCCAGATTGTTGGGGACAATATGCTGACTCTGTAAACTGCTTAGAGAGGGCTGTAAAGCATTGCAAAATGGTACATAAGTCGAAGTGCTAGTTCTAGTGGTGAAGAGAAGAAGTAATAAAAAAAAGTCTATCACTCATTTTTTCACTAAAGACAAACTGTGCTTTGTAATCCTTCCTGATTTGGATTATTGATTTACAAATAAGCTATGAATTATAATTATACAGCGCATTCAGAAAGTATCCAGCCCCCCTTCCACTTTTGTCAACTTTATTATGCTGCAGCCTGATTCTACAGTTGTTGACATTCATTTTTTTCCCATTAATCTACACTCTGTACCGACAAAGTGGAAACAGAATTTTAGAGATGTTTGTAAATTTATTAAAAAGAAAAAACTGAAATATTACATTGGTATAAGTCAGTGGTTCTCAACCTGTGGGTCGGGACCCCATTTGGAGTCAAATGACCATTTCACGGGGGTCACCAAACCATGCTGTCCACCATTTTTTTCCCTTTTTCCTAGCTGTCCTACTCCCTCTTATTGGTGGCCACACCCACTTGGGGGTCACCACAACATGGGGAACTGTATTATGGGGTCACGGCATTAGAAAGGTTGAGAATCACTGGTATAAGTATTCAGGCTCTTTGCCACAACAATTGAAATTTAGTCCCGATGCCTCCCATTTCTCTTGATCGTTGCTGATACGTTTGTACGCCTTGATTGGAGTCCACCTGTGGTAAATTAAATTGGACCTGATTTGGAAAGCACACACCTTCCTATAGAAGGCCTCACAGCTGACAATGCATACTGTAGCAAAGCAAAAGCCATGAGGTCAAAGGAACTGCCTGCAGTGCTCAAAGACAGGATTATTGCAAGGCATAGATCTGGGGAAGGCTACAATAAATTTTCTGCTGCACTGAAGGTTCCTAAGACCACAGTGGCCTCCATAATTCTCAAATGGAATAAGTTTGGCACAACCAGGACTCTTCCAAAGACTGATTGCCTGGTCAAACTGAATAATTGGAGTAGAAGGGCCTTGGTAAGAAATGATGGTCACTCTGACTGAACTCTAGATATCCTGTGTGAAGATAGGACAGAATTCCAGAAGGACAATCATTGCTGCAGCCCTCCACTGTTCTGGCTTTTATGGCAGAGTGGCTAGACAGAAGCCTCTCCTCAGTGCAAAACACATGAAAGCCTGTTTGGAGTTTGAAAAAAGCACCTGAAGGACTCTCAAACTGTGAGGAACAAGACTCTCTGGTCTGATGAAACCAAGATGGAATTGTTTGGCCTCAGTTCTAAATGTTTTATCTCACCTGCCCAATATTATCCCAACAGTGAAGCATGGTGGTGGCAGCATCATGTTGTGGGGATGTTTTTCAGCAGCAGGGACTGGGAGACTAGTCAGGGTTAAGGGAAAGCTGAATGGAACAAAATACAAACATATCCTCAATACAAACATGTTCCATGGCACTCAGGAGCTCAGACTGGGCCGAAGGTTCACTTTCCCAAATGATAATGATCCTAAGCATACAGGCAAGACAACATAGGAGTGGCTTAGGGACAACTGTATGAATGTCCTAGAGTGCCCCAGCCAGAGCCTTGACTTGAACCCTATTGAATATCTCTGGAGGGACTTAAAAATGGCTGTCTCCCAACAGTCGCCATCCAACCTGATTGAGCTTGAGAGGATTTGCAAGGAAGAATGGCAGAAAATCCCCCAGTCCAGGTATGAAAAGCTTGTTGCATCATACCCAAAAAGACTCGAGGCTGTAATTGCTGCCAAAGGTGCTTCAACAAAGTACTGAGTGAAGAGTCTGAATACCTATCCCAATGTGATATTTCTGTTTTTTCTTTTTAATAAATTTACAGACATTTCTAAAATTTTGTTTTTACTTTGTCATTATGGGTTACTGAGTATAGATTAATAAAAAAAAATGAATTTCAACAACTGTAGAATCAGGCTGAGCATAGTAAAATTTGCAAGTGATGGGGTTCTGAATACTTTATGAATGCACTGTATATTCATTTATTGCGAGGTATGTATTTATCTCTAGCACATCACTATATGGCTTTGGGTGCATATTGCATTTATGCATGAAGTAATTTCATAAACGTAAGTTTATATTTGCATGTTCTTTATCATCAGAAATGTTGACACAAAATTAATGTCACTTGTTAAGAACATGATTTATTCACAAGTTTTGCTGTTAAAATCATCCTTTTTCATTTTGTAGATGAAGAAGCTGCTCAAGAGGAGTCTTTTGAATCAAAGGTGACTAGTCTTTTGTCTGGGATTCCTTTCTCATGACTGAGAATTGCTATGAATTTTTGAATTAATGAACATGGTGCAATATATAATTGCCATGAAAAATTCTTTACCTAAGTTTCATGGATTTATAAAAGCTTAAATGAGAGAAAAATGTTTCTTTCAGTGATTCTATTATTTTGAAGTAGATTAGATTATTTATTTCCATATAGGTCATTTCAGAATTGAAATGGGAAATATTGAAGCTGGTGGAAGTCATAGTTAGCAACATCTAATGCAGGGGTAGTCAACCTTGCTCTTTTATGACTCGTGGACTTCAACTCCCAGAATTCCTGAGCCAGGAATAAAACAGCCAAGGTTGACTACCCCTGATTCTAATGGGATACAATGAAAGATTGAATTGCTGGGAGTAGAGAATAGACATATTTTAAAAACAAAAAGCAGGTTCTGGAAGAAAATGTGATCAATTGGAATCTATAACAAAGTAGTTTTTAAAATCTAAAGATTATCTTGGTGTCTTTTGACTTCTTGCATGCAATTGTCTTAAAACAAAAGCCCCAACTTTGCTACATTTCCTAACAAAAGCTATCTTGTTTCTCTTTTCTCCCAACTATTTATTTTGTAGTCAACCTTGCCTTCTGAAGACCAAGTGAAGGATCATTCAACAGGAGCCCAAGTGGTAGCAGGTCAGATCTTTATTGATTCTGAAGATCCAGAGACTCTAGCTGAAGATGCAGATAGTTTTGGAGAAGAGGACAAGGAAAGGACTTTGGAGAGCTTAAGTTCTTTAGAATTGTCTGCCTTACTAAATAAAGACTTGGAAGAAGTAGAAGCAGAAAAAACAGGTGATTGTGTGGGTTATTAGTATTTTCCATATGCAGATCTTAAGTAGTTTTATATGTACTTTTTAGATGAGATTGGTAAGAGCTTGAGGAAAACATTATCATGGTTTTTAGAGAAATTGATAAAACTATAGTTGGTATAGTGCAGACATGTCAAACACAAGGCCCAGGGGCCAGATGCGGCCCGCGAAGTGGTTTCATGCGGCCCGCAAAGCCATCCTGAAAACAGTGAGGGAACGACCCCGCTGCCTTGGCCCTGGCCCAGGCCAGCCGGGTAGCCAATGTACAATTTTGTGGTGGCCATCTTGGCACTTGACCCGGTGGACCATGCCTTGGCATTTGCCCTGGTCCCACCCCCTTTTGCCAGAGACCCTCAGATCTGTCCCACTTCTGCCCAGGCCCCCACAGGCACCCTTGACGCAAATGATGTAGAGGTGGTCACACCCATCCAATAGGCCACACCTACTCCATCCACGCCCACCCAGTATTCTGCATCCACTCTGGCCACACCCACCCAGCCCCCCAAGGGCAACCACAATGCTGATGCAGCCCTCAGTGAAATTGAATTTGACACCCCTGTTATAGCGAGTCAGAGGCCTCCTATCCCTCCTTCCTATATAAATTTGCTTTTCTTTCAACAAACTGACCTTAAAATAATAGTAACATTGTACTATTTATCTGTAAGTCATTATTGAACAAATATATAGCTTGCTTACAAGTTTTCAACATTATATCCCAATTAAATCTTGCAAATTTCTATGGGAAAGTGGTAGATAAAAAAAGCATCATGTAAGCTGCAGATCCTGTCTGCAGGTTTTTAAGAAAATAGGTACCTTATTTCAAAATGTGAGCAGTAGTGTAGAAAATGCTACAACTGTGCAAATATAACATTTATTGTTTCTATTTGTTAAAAATAATGGTGCCTGCATGAGATCCCAGACATATTTTCATGTTTCTCAATTGTTTCTCTGGGTGTCATGTGGTAAAAATCAGATATGTGTCTACAAAAATATAGCAAAAATCACTAATAGTATTTATTTAAAACAGCATTGTTTAAACAGTATGTTCTAAATTCTGCCTACAGCTTTTTTGTAATTTAAAACTCCTTAGGACATGAGGGCCAGTTTGGTGTAGTAGTTAATGTGCTGGCCTAGAAATCAGGAAACTATGATCTCTGGTCTTGCTTTAGGCATGAAAGCCAGCTGAGTAACTTTGAGTTAGTCACACTTTCTCAGCTCAACCCACTTCATAGATTTGTTGTAGGGAAAATAGGAAGAGGATGGAGAGTTATATATGTTCACCATCTTGAGTTACTTATAAAATAAAGGTGGGGTAAAATTGTAGTAACTGATGGAAATATAAAAATGCATTCGTGTGTATCCATGAATCAGTAGAATTGATTTTGCTGGTAAAATAGTTCTCTATCTTTCTTATATCTCAGCCCCACCAGCGTACTCATAAGGTTTTAACAGAGTTACATACTTAATCAGACTTCTGATTGAAATGCTTTTTATTACAGGTTGCTGGTAAACCTCTTTAATGTCAATTAAAAAATCATAGCTTACATTCTGTGGTTTTAATTAACTTTACTGATTCAGTCACTAAATGTGGACATTATTAATCCTTGTATGCATCTTATTTCCAATTCTCAGATCCGAATTTTGAAACAGATTTTAGATGGTGATGCTAGTGATACCTGGTGTTCATCACAATCCCATAATAACAGATTTTTCAATCAAGAATTCTCAAATATTTAAAGATTAATCATTATTTGAGAATTTGGACTTAAATATAGGAAGGCATATGCATATTTCTTTATTAATGCACTGAAAACAAGACTATTCACAAAATGGAAAATGTTTTGTTTCTATCAAACAAACCACTGAGCTCTGGAAGTTCTGCAAGACTATTTTTGATTCAGTTGCATTCAGCCGAAGGATGAGAACTTTCAGAATATTTGTCTACAACCTTGTGTGGGAATACATCTTAATACTGAATTAATATGCATGACTGCATACATAACTTTCCTAATAGGTTATCTGAAAAGACAGCTATACCATTCACCTCCACAGGAATTACTGGTAGCAAATAGAGAAGCTGGAGGGGGGCAGATTTCAGAACATTAATCTAGAAAAATATGGTGAGAAACATACATCTGAATAGAAATTGCAATATGTATTTTGAAAGAAAGTAATAGTATTGTCTTTCTTTCATATCTTGTCTGTTTCAGTGTAGTATATCCTTGTATTTTGTTGATGGGAATGTTTTTTATATCTGATTTCACACATAATTCTAAATCAGTGGTTCTCAACCTGTGGGCCGGGACCCCATTTGGGGTAGAACGACCATTTCATGGGGGTCGCCAATCAACGCAGTCCGCCATTTTTTTCCCCCTTTTCCTTAGCTGTGCTACTCCCTTTTATTCTATTGGCTTTTGAAAGCAAATAGAATAGACCAGGGGTAGGCAACCCAAAACACTCAAAGAGCCACTTGAACCCGTTTCCCACCAAAAACAAAACACTGGGAGCCGCAAAACCCTTTTGATATCTAAAATGAAGATAACACTGCATATATCCTTTTTTATCTTTATTATAGGTGTGTGTGTGTGTGTGTGTGTGAGAGAGAGAGAGAGAGTGTTTGTGTATGTGTATGTGTATACACACACACACACACACACACACACACACACATTAAAAATAAAAGTAAAAATATGACTCTTGGGAATATCCATACTATTAAAACAATGATCACCAAGAGAATGCTTTAAGAGAATAAAATTACATACACACACAGGTTAAAAAAAGGATATATGCAGTGTTATCTTCATTTTAGATGTCAAAAGGGTCTCTCTCTCTCTGTCTCTCTCCCTCCCTCCCTCTCTGCCCTTTGTCTGCCACTCCTCTTCCCCCACTCTCTTTCTTTCTCTCTCTTTCCTCTCTCTCTCCCCTCCCTCTCTCTCTCTCTTTCTCTCTCTCTTTCTCCCCCCCCCATCTGCTGCTCACCTGGCAAGCTTCAAGTTGTTCTCCAACAATCTCAGGGGTAGGCAACCTCGGCTCTTTTATGACTCATAGACTTCAACTCCCAGAATTCCTGAGTCAGCCTAGCTGGGCTAGCTAGCTCTCTCCTGCCCTTCCTGCTTCCTGCAGAGACGCAGCAAAGGGAGGAGCTCCGCCCAGAAAGCTTTTCAGCTCCTCAGAGAACAATGTGAGTGCACTCTCTTTTACACATATACACACACGCACACAAAACACACACACACACACACACACACAGAGAGAGAGAGAGAGAGAGAGAAGCAGGGAAGCGCAATTGCCTCTCTCTGTCTCTGTCTCTCTCTGCAAAGGCAGAGGAGGCTGGGAGCCACATGGGAAGGCTCAAAGAGCCGCATGCGGCTCCGGAGCCGCAGGTTGCCGACCTGTGGAATAGACTCTCTTGAATAGAGTCTACTTCTATTCGCTTTCAAAAGCCAATAGGAATTGTCCAGGCTGTCTCTGCCCTGCTGAGCCCGCCAAAAGTCCCATTCTGCAAACGGTGCTGCATCAGTTGAGTAGTCCTCGACTTACGACCGGTTGAGTAGTCCTCGACTTACAACCGGTTGGGGGTCGCGGCATTAAAAAGGTTGAGAACCACTGTTCTAAACCATAAAGTGGATTATTTTGAATCTTAGCTTGTGGGAATCAGTCACTACAGCTTATTTGGGGCTTACTGCAGTGCATATGGCAAAGAAGGAGTTACAAATAAGCTATTACTATATTTGGTTACCATATAAGTTTTATTTGAATATAAGCAGATAATCTTTATGATACATCAAGATTTGCAAATTGAAATATCCCAATAGATTTTTTTAAGAACAAATATTTTGCAAAATTAAGGCATCTGAAGTCCTTAATCATTATGAAACTTTTCACACATCTAATTATAACACTGAAAGAAAGCATAACATGATTTTTGCTCTCTTTTAGTGCTGTATCATAAATATAGCACATGCTCACTGGCTTTTCAGTTCTGTTCAAATGCCACGTCAAATTGCATTTCCTTGTTTTATGTAAATTTCAGAATTGCATTGCATCTTGTAAAGAGATGATATTCTGTCAAAATCCTAATCTATTTTTAATTTAGGTCAAGAACTATAACAGTGAATTGTTGCAGAATATTGCAGCATTAAAATGGACATTGGTACTTTATTAACAGATTTAATCAGATTCTATCTTAAATAATTGATTTAGATAATTTCATTGTGTTGATTTTATTTTCTCTCAATTGTTTAGATTTTGTGACTGTCATGTTGGCTTTCAGCTGTACAACATAGAGATAACTTTTCATGCATTTGGTTCTGCTGTAGAATAGTTTCTGACTGGCAGAGGTTTTGACAATTTATATGTGATTCTGTTAACCTGTTACAATTTCTTGATCTTCTGAAACTGAAAATGTGAAAATGTTTATAGACTTCTTTTTGTAATAAAACACCTTAGGATATATATTTTACACAGGAAATCTGCAAGAAATAAAATTTACAAACAATTGGTGACCTTGTAGGCATTGCAACTTCAGGGTGTTTCATGTGGGTTTTTGTTTTAGTTTTGACAGCTATTGGAGGAACTGCAGATGGTGAGTTATGTCGATTCCCCTTTCTCTTTATGGAGAAGGAATACTCAGAATGTACTGCAGATGGGAGAGAAGATGGAAGACTATGGTGTGCGACAACCTATGACTACAAGACTGATCAAAAGTGGGGCTTTTGTGAAAGTAAGAATGGCTTTGCTAAAAAATTCAGTTTTCAGACTTCGTGAATTTAAATTAATGGGAGTCATTAAGGGATGTGAATGTGAAAAGTTATGTTTGTGCATTCTGATAAATGGATTTAAAGGATCCGTTGTTAATAGAGATTCTGCATATTATCAGCGTGGGAATTGTTGCCAGTACAAGTACTGCTTACAAGAAGATCTCCCAAAGGTATTTACCAGGACCCAAAAACATACCTTCTGTATTTTTGCAAGAGTTAAATTAAGCAGCTAAATGAAATGACTCTTTCTTTAGCCTAATGTTGTACATATTAATTACATTAATTCACCATTCAATTTTTACTTTTTATATTTTAGAATTTTTGATACATTACTCATGAGCTTGTTTTTTTTAGAGTAGAGCTTAGATTTAAAGTTCTGATGCATTTAATAAGTTAAAAATGTTTTAGAAAAAAAAAAGGTAATTTCAATATGTGAATATTTTCTCCACATGCTTACAAAACTTTGGAAACTATAGAAGAATAATCTTGAATAAACAATAAATATAAAGAAGCATTTCTTTTCTTTTTTTCTTTTTACTCCGTTCCAATTGCTAGTTCAGCTTTTTGTTTAAAATAATAAATGATATTACCTGGAACAATACATTTTCTATGCTTAAATACAATCTCTCTGATCACTGGAAATATTTCTATCAATAGAATTAATCTATTGAAAGTTCATTTCCATTTATTTTAATTCTAAAAATGTAGCAAATAAACAATGTTTATTTTTGAAACTGGTCAGGTGTAAAATTTCATAAAATATTCTGCTTTCTATGCAAAATGTGTTTTGAGTATAAAATAGGATGGTTTGGACCTTGGGAAATGCTCCAAGCAGCTCATTTGGGGGAAAAAGTGTGTTTTCATAATTTTTTACTCTGAAAATGCCACAAAATGTTTTGCATATTCCTAATTAAAATCAGTGTTTTTTTTAACATTTAAAAAAATAACGCCTTTTTTTTTTAAAAAAAAAAACTTCATCAAATGCATCATGAAGACTGGTTTCTAAGAATACCATCAAATTATGAGTCAGATATACTTTGGATTGTTTTTTTATATGATTGGGTTTTTTTTCTTTTCAGAGCCTATAGTAATTTGATTGCCGCGTTATAAGCAAAATGGCAGAAAACAGTATAAGCCTGAAATAGATGGTCTCAGAATAAAATGACAGAATTTTAGTGAGTGTTAATTATCCTTTTTTAAATCTTCTTTTTATTAGCTGAAGAGGAGTCTCATAAGAGAAGACAAATGCAGGAAGCAGAAGATGTTTACCAAACTGGGATGAAAATTCTTAATGAGAGCAGAAAAAAGGCCCAGAAGAAAGAGTGAGTTGTCTTCTTTATATAGATCAAATCTTCTGCATAGAAGGATATCAGTAGCTTTTAATTATGAAATCTATGTCAATTTCTCCCAGTATTGTATTCATCAAATTTTTTGGGGTTACAAATTCTGTGGATCAAACTAGCAAATGCATACTGCTGATGCCTATTGTGTTTTCCCCAAAATAAGACCCAATTTTTATATATTTTTTGCCTCCCAAAGAGGCACTAGATCTGATTTTCGGGGGATGTCTTATTTTTTTTTCCTGACACCTACCTAGCCTTGTGGCAGCACCAACAACTCTGTACAGCAGGAGCCCACGTGGCTACCACCCACTCACAGCCGCTTGCAGATGCCAGATGCATCACGCAGGTGCTGCAACAAAGCAGGAGGGGAACTGCCCCATCCACTTACCTCAGGACCGTCGCAGCCAGGCCTCCCAAGCCATGACACCTGTTGCATCGCTGCCTCACTTCTGCGGCCGCTCGCAGCAGGACTCCACGTGGCCTGCTGTGAGTGGCAGCTCGGTGAAATGTGCCACGTGACATCCTGCTGCCAGCAGCTGCCAGCAACCAGAAATGGCCGGCAATGGCCACATAGGTTCCTGCTGGATGGGGCTGCTGCTGCTGGTGCCACTGCCACAAGGCGAGGCAGGTGTGAGGTCATGGGAGGCCTGCCTGTGGAGGCCCTGAGGTAAGCTGGTGCAGGGTGCATGAGGCAGCTTCACCCCCTACCCCCGCCCTAGCTTGATTGTTACATGTGCGCCTTGCCCTACCTCATGCAACTAGACAGTGAGATGGAGTGGACAGGGTCTTATCTAGGGCTAATTTGGGGGGTAGGGCTTATATTAGGTGTACATGTAAAAATCAAGCTAGGGCTTATTTTGGGGAAATATGGTATATGTTGAATATATGCAGTCACTGAGAAACCTCTAATGTGCTCCAAGTTTCTTTCACAACAGGGTCCCCAACCCCCAGTCCACAGACTGATACCAGTCTGCGGCCTGTTGGGAATGCTCCATGCAAGCGTCAGGTGAGCGCGCAAAGCTCCATTTTTGCAAGTGGCGGATGCGCATATGAAACCATTCCCTCTCCCCTGCCACTGCTGGTCCATGGAGCTGGAAAGATTGGGGATCACTGTTTTACAAGATATAGCATATCAGATAAATGCTACCTATTAGGTTAAAACCTAAGGCAGAAGTAGATGAGTGCCTATTTCTGTGAATCATGAAGCCCCCAAGCACACATCATTAGCATGGGGTGGTTTCCTCCCTCCCTTCCCAATTATTAACAAAGGTTGGTAGGTTCAGTGCACATTTTTTTGTCGTAACTACCCCCTGCTAACAAACGGGGGGAAAATAATTTCAATCTCACCCCAGCAATAAAAATGTTTGACTTAATGTTTTTGCTATTATTTTCAGTATATGAAGCTTGCATTTCAGTTATGACATTGCATTCATGTCTTACATTATATATCACATGAGAGAAATCTGCTAACCTTTAGAGAAGAGATATAAGGTCTGTCCACTTGGATGTATCCTCCAGAAACTTCCAAAAGTTTTTAGCAGTTATTAATGTAATATTGTTAATGTATTGTTAATGTAATTTTAGGGAAACATTATTAAATACATAAAGAGGGAATAACCATGTTCATTGTAAATGTTAATAAAATGAAATTGGATTTGGGTTTTAACAATCATATTCATTCAAAGGGCTTGTGCAGCCTTCAGCTGGAGAATTTGCACACCATCTACACATGCATTTTTGGAACAGCATTTATGCTTAAAAGAATAAAGCATGCATTTTTTTTCCCTTAAGGGCTTATCAGTATTTTTTGAGAGCTGCTGACATGAATCATACTAAGGCGATGGAAAGAGTGTCTTATACATTATTGTTTGGTGACTACTTGAAACAAAATATTCAATCAGCTAAAGAACTGTTTGAGAAGCTTACTGAAGAAGGATCTCCTAAAGGTCAAACAGTATGTATATTTTTTTTCTCTCAGGGCCCATAGATCTGTCATTCTTATTGTGAAAAGTTCTGGGATGAGAAGGTTGTATATAATTGAAAAGTATGCTCACATTTTAAACCATACTCATCTATATAAAATTATATTAATTAATTTACAGATACTAAGTCAAAAGGAGCAATAAGGGAACAAACCAATTTCATACGTTATACTTTCAACATAGTGAGATTGATAGCTAGCCCCTTTTAAACATTTTCTATTTTTAATAAACATTTTAAAAGTTGCATTTTTTTATCTTAAATTTATACAAAATTGACTATTATTCCTAGAAGTTGATCTATTAATGTGAGATATTCCAACATTTCAGCCAAGAATTGTAGCCAAAAAACTAATATTAGCCTTCCAGTATACTTTATTAAAAAACACTGTAGATCTAAAATCGTCCAAAACACATTCTAATACAATATGGGTAACAATTTAGAAGTTTCAAATAATGCTAGTGAAATCAAGTGGTCCAGAGTCATTGAGAGTTAGGTTCCATACAGATTTAATAAATAATAAATTATCATCATCTCGTAAAATATAGTTTTATGTATCTTCAGGAAAATTCCTCATACTACATCCAGGTGTGTGTAAACACTCATGTCTGTGTTTAAATTCATGTTGGAAAAACTTTTTTTTAACGCTTCCTGGATACTAAAAGTGCAGCTGCTGAACTTGTATTGGGAGGAGGGCATTTTACAGGAGGGGAGCCCCTGCAGTCCCATCATGATGAGGACTGTCAATAAGCATTCTCTACATCAGTGGTTCTCAACCTTTCTAATGCCGCGACCCCATAATACAGTTCCCCCAACCACTTATACATCACCGGGTGCCAGGGGCATGGCCAAAGAAAAGGGGAAAAAAATGGCGGACAGCCTTGTTTGGCGACCCCCGTGAAATGGTCATTCGACCCCAAATGGGGTCCCGACCCACAGGTTGAGAACCACTGCTCTACAAGCACCTCTTGGGTAATCAGATTTTATTTTGAATAAGTGATCTTGCAGATAACTGGCCCCAAGCCATGTAGCATTGTATTCTACTGCTTGATTTATACCATTTATTAAGACTTGCAATTAAGCAAATTATAATATCCCAATATATCTGTTACACTAGAGCAGTGTTTTAGCACCACTAAATAAACACATGTGGTAGATTAACTAATAAGGAATGATTTTTCCTTACAAAAGCCATGGTGGCACAGTGTTAGAATGCTGTATTGCGGGCTAATTCTGCCGACTGCCAGGAGTTTGATTCTGACCGCCTCAGGGTTGACTTAGCCTTCCATCCTTCTGAGATTGGTAAAATGAGGACTCAGATTGTTGGGGGCAATATATTGACTCTGTAAACTGCTTAGAGAGAGCAATAAAGCACTATGAAGCGATATATAAGTCTAAGTGCTATTCTATTGCTATTTTATGTAAAATTTTGCACCTGTGTCAAAACAAAACCCACATTGCAGCTTTCTATGGTCTTTAAAAACAAAACAGGAATTATCTGGGGCATTAGTTACGGATTTCTTCATCATCATCATCACAGCTCCCACACTATGCCTACAAAAGATGTCTGGATATAATGCTGCTGTCTATTTAATTTGGATTCAGAAAACATATCTAATCAAAATAATTTTGTAAAATTGCCATTTTTTAATGTTTCTTTCAGGCCCTTGGATTTCTATATGCTTCTGGTCTTGGTGTTGATTCCAGCCAGGCTAAGGTAATGTAAAGCCACCATCTTTTGCCTGTTTCTTGTTAGTGTGCCATTGAAAACAATTAACCAGCTGCACTTTTTTTTTTGTAGGCATTAGTTTATTATACTTTTGGTGCTCTTGGAGGAAATTTAATAGCACATATGATTTTGGTAAGTAGAGTTTCCTCAACCATACAAATAATGACATAAAACAGCAAAATCCTGATAGCAATCTTGCCTTCTAGGTTTTATGGCTATGTTTGGTACTTACTGAGAATTTATCCCAATGAACAGAGAGAAATTTACCTCGAGGAGATAAATTTAGTATTATTAATTTGCTTTTAAAAAGGAATATTGTAATTGTATGTATAAGGTTTGGAATTGCTCAATTTTATTGTTTTTACTTACAGCATTCTATCCTGAATTTCATTGAAACAAAAGAAGTTGCAGATAATTTAACAAAAACATGTTATTTTTGTTTTGAGTATTTTCAAATGTAAGACAGCAGTACTTGCTTTATGACAGTAGTCGCTTCTTTTCAGGGCTACCGGTACTGGGCTGGAATAGGTGTCCTTCAGAGCTGTGAATCTGCACTTACGCATTATCGCCTAGTAGCTAACCATGGTACGTATATGTATGTTTATACATCTAGTACAGTGGTTCTCAACCTTTTTATACGGCGACCCCCGGTCACATGGACGCGCCGCCCCATGCGCGGTGCGCATGCGTGGCGCTGCCCCCTGAGGGGGGAAAATGACAGATCGCGTTGTTTGGCGACCCCCGTAAAATGGTCGTTCGACCCCAAATGGGGTCGCGACCCATAGGTTGAGAACCGCTGATCTAGTAGATGAAGAAATAGATTTATACATTTCTATTAACTAATTTATACACAAGAAAAATTTGTGACATTCATTCCCTTTAAATAGAAATGTGGTTGGTTATACAGATTATATGATGGCTAGTAATCAGCTAATGCTAAAAGCAAAGCTTGGACTCTGATGTTTGTTTCAATTGATATAACAGGTTTTGTCACAGGATCTACAAGGGGAAACGTTTCAATATCCCTTGCATGGTGTAAATTTGATCTGGAACATTCATATATCTTATAGCACATTTGGCGAAGAGATGGGGGGAAAAGTCTTATGCAAACAGAATTGTGCTATTATTTAGTTTCCCATAAGAAATAATAGAATTGCAAGCATATAATGAATGTTTTTCTTTAGTACAATATTATCTTAATTAGATGTTTCAAGTTTATTTCTTATTTTTGCAATATTAGATATTATCCTTGCTTGAACTAATTGGTTCTGTTTAACCCTCTTACTTGGAGACTTAGCTGGCATCACAAATATTTGTATAAAGAAATAGCAGCCAGAACCTCTTCACATTAAATTAGTTGTCCCATGATAGTGTTGTGTTTCTCTCCTCTCCCCCATAAACTTAATCTACAAATCCCAGGGTTAGAACATTTTTCTTTGTAGAAAGTATCCATAATTTGGAGGTGATCTTGAGGGGCTCCCTTAGAAAGGAATATCTTAATGATACAGTGTTACTTTTAATCTTGTAGCAAACTTCTGTATACTTTACAGAATCACATGACTCAATGAAAGACATATTTGCTTATAAATATTTATGTGTCAGTTATTCAAAGGGCATTTAGAACAGGTGATGATTCCTTTTAGTAATTCCATGTATGAAAACTATGATGTGCACTAGACTTTGAATTTTATAAGGATAAAATTAAATGTTTCTGCCCTGTTCTTTCTCCCTAGTGGCTAGTGATATCTCTCTGACTGGAGGCACAGTGGTTCAGAGAATTCGTCTGCCGGATGAAATAGAAAATCCAGGAATGGCAAGTGGAATGTTGGAGGAAGATTTAATACAATATTATCAATTCTTAGCTGAAAAGGGAGATGTTCAAGCGCAGGTAATTTAATTGTCAAACTAGGATGGGAAAGAGAAAAGTTAGTTCACTCATTTATATCGATTGAACAGGAATAGGGAATGTAGCCAATTTTTGGAGTTGAGTAGGTTCACTGAAGAAGGCTTGTTTGCCTAATTAGATAAAAGTTTATTCTTTCCGTTGCATTGTGTTTGCTTGTTTAACTGCCTGAGAAGCGAGACTTACAATTGCAGCTGATTTATTGATTAGCTAGTGGGTGGAGCTACATTCTTGCAATTTAGTCTCTGGAAACAGAGAAGAGGCAGTAGGCCCTCTCACGTCAGCACGAGTGGGGCAAGCCTGACCTAACAGGATGAGATGGTTCTTCAGACAGCCTGGAATTTAATAACAGGGCTCTTCTTAAAATTAACAATAAAATTATTTACTGAGAGAATGATGCAAAGTAATCAAATCAAACTAAAGGTCTTGAAAATAATAGGATGTATGTCAGTTAAACATGTCAGTGATGGCGATGAGATATTGAAGAATAACAACATGAACTTTTTTTCCCAAAGTTGTGTCATTTTGATTGCCACATTTGTTGGAAATGGTGAAGAGTTTATCAGGAGGCAAGTTAGGGAATACTCAACTATACTCTTTAGGTATAAGATATTTTAAAGGAGCTTTTTTAAAGAACACAAGTTCCTCCAACGTTTTAAAAAGGCAGCTTGGTTGGTTGTAGAGCATACTATATTTTCAAAACATGATGAAGTCAGATTTTATGTAAAGCTGGGGAAATTTTTTTCCTTTCCGTTCTACAAAATGCTGTGAGTACTTCCATTTGTCATTTCGATTTAGTTTGCACTAAAACTAGTTTGTACATTCTCTTTCCTGAAACTTAGTACAATGAGCTGTGGTTGCATGGCATTATTTTACATAAGCGTCGGGGCCCACTTCAAAACCTCATCCTAAGAAAGCAGAACTCATGGAAGCAGTTTCTTCCAAAAGAAACTTTTATTAGGAGAAGCTGGTAGCAGCCATAATAGACAGGATCTGAGGGTTTCCCGCTCAGATCAATAGGTTAAAAGAGTCCCAAGCAAATCTCGTCCCAGTAGTTCATCTGGTCAGTTCAAATGGGCCAATCCCCAGGTGTTAAGTCAGTTGTGGGAAAGAGCTGATAATAAGCTAGCAAAGGCATGATTTCCAAATCAATACTTCAGAACATTGTAATGAGCAATACCTTACAAAACATGATAACAGCCATGATTTGGTATAGCTCATCAGCTTATGATTACTTTTGGAGTACAGAGTGTTGCCTTGTTCTCATTGCCCATCCTTTATTGTTTTGGATTGTTACAAAGAACTTGTGTAAACCAATGTTACTCAGCAGAAAACTGGATGTTTGGGATAAATGTAAGGAAAATCTTTTTTTTCCTGATTAGTTTTCAATATGCAGGAAGTAATTTCATGTGGGGGCATGACTGTGCCGCCCTTTGGATCTAAGCGGAAAATATGCTTCATTACCCTGGAAGATCATGTAGTCCTCTTTGGCAACTTAACACAGATGTTTCTTTTCTCCAAATCATGTGGCTGCCTGCCATAGTTAGGTACAGTTCAGGAAAAAAAGATGCATTTGGTGACAAGTGCCTCATGAGCAGTCTGATGTGTTCTAAAGACCCTTTTCTCTTAGAAATTGCACAGCCCAATTAACAATATGAAGAGATAGAGCCTGGGCTGATATGTATTTATTACATTTATTCACCACCTGACCATATCAAAGCCTTGTCTCCATGCATGGAGAGTTTGTAGATATCTCATCAATTCTGAGATGAAATTACTATTTTTTTATCGCAGCAGGGCAGTTGCAAATACTGTATATTCTTGCTTTGACAATATACAGAACTGTCTGGTATTTTGGGGGTTAATGCAGAGCAGAAGAGGGTGGGGGAGGTAAAGCCCGGGAAAGAAAGAGGAAGGAAACCTTTGACCTTCACACTAATTGAATAACGTGATATATGACAGCTAATTTAGGGAGGGAACATGCTGATAATTTAACTGCTCAGAGGAAGAGAACTTAGATCTTAGCATGTTGTTATGGTTCCGGCTAATGAAACACTTCAAAGAACTTCCAGGCATTGATTTTCCTAAAAGTCATTTATTGTTACAAAATGTCGGATAAGGCATCAGCCTCCGTTATGCCTGTGCCGACATTTTGTAACAATAAATGACTTTTAGGAAAATCAATGCCTGGAAGTTCTTTGAAATGTTTCATTAGCCGGAACCATAACAACTTGATTTGGAGGTTGTCCCTTTATTGTGTGTGCATTCTAATATTCTTTTTCTTCAGTGTACGCTTTCTTGATAGGAAATTAAATAACATGTTTCAACTACTATTTCAGGTAGGGCTTGGACAATTGCACCTGCATGGAGGAAGAGGAGTAGAGCAAAACCATCAGGTATCTGTAGGGCAGTGCTTCTCAATTATTTTCTGTCATGCCCCCCCTAGGAAGAAGAAAACATTTCGCGCCCCCCGCGCGACTGTAAAACTTTTTTTTCTGTACAGAGGACCGATTTCCGGGTCTAAAAGTCACACGGGCGGGTTTGGCCAATGAGGATAGAGCATCATGCCTATCCAATCGGGTCCTTTGCATGTGTCACGTGCGTTGGCGGTCATGTTGTCCTCCGCGTCGGGCTGCCGCTTGCGAGTGAGTCGGATGATCCGATCTAGAAATCCAATATGACAGTATTTGCCGAGGTCAAACGAGCCCCCCTTTACGGAGCCTCGCGCCCCCCCTGGGGGGCACGCCCCACTATTTGAGAAGCACTGCTGTAGGGCAATACATGAGATGTTAGTACATTTAAGATGTAAAATGAAACTGGAATTGAAAATCTCTATATCTATTGCAAGAGCTGTCTTCTTAGCATAACAGTAGAGATCTAGGAGGTATTTCAACGTTGGGTGGTCACTGCAGAAGGAGCCAAATTCCAGTTTGTCTTGTATTACATAGTTCCTACCTGACGTTGGTCTGCATGCATTTACTGTAGCTCACAAATATATCCCATTTTTGCCTGTTGCAACTTGTTCTCATGGATTTATGTTGAAAAGTTTATGTAGAAAGATAGAATACATTGTTCACTTGTTTGAATAAGCAGCAAATGTTATTAATAATGCAATAATCAAGATGACCAATGTATGTAAGTGAAGAATGTTTAATTCAAGTTTGGCATTAAATAAGAAGGCGTAGACTATGCCTGTGGTGAGAAATTTATTAAACAAATTATACATTAAAGAAAGCAATGTTTCTCAATCTTGGGAACATTAAGATACATGCACCTTAAATCCCAAAATTCTGGAAGTTGAAGACTATATGTCTTAAAGTTGTCAGGGTTGAGAAACATTGCTGGAATGATGCAATCAGAATCACAGTAATGCAACTAAAATAAACAAAAGTATTTTAAAAATAGAATATAGTTCTAAGATGATAATTTTAAGTATATTGTTTAACATAATCCCATTAAATGTATTTAGTATATACTTACTATAATTAGTAAAGTAATAGAATAAACAACTTTTTGTCAGCTTTCTTTTCCTTGCAGTGCTAGGGTACCAATAGGAACTGCTTATATTGAAAAACATTTAAAAATAATGCCTCCTTAAAATAGAATAACTCCTTCTTGTTCCTCCACATCCTTTATTCTCATGTGTGGACCAGGCCTCTTACTCAGCTAAACTGATACCAAGAGTTCATAAGATCATGATGTAAAAAGATGTAATAGTCATAATAAGTATTTATGTACCTTTTAGCTAATTAAAAGGAAATTTTCTCAAATTCTCAAGTCATGGTTTTGATGGACCAAAAATTGTGCATTGAAGATGCAGTCCTGTGGGCTACTTGGAATTAAGCACTATTTATCACAGTGTGATTGCTTTCAAATAAACAAGGATATGTATAGGCTATCAAACAAATGATACTGCCTTAGTATTCAAAAAGTGAAATAATTGTTGAATTTGCATATTTTAGTATCACATTCAGTTATATAAAACTAGTATATTTGCTCATATAATGCAGATTTTTAAACAAACTTGAATGAAGGCCAAATGTTGTATTAAAAATTGTCACATATTTATATTTCTACTCTTTTTCTCCTCCAGAGAGCTTTTGAATACTTCAACCAAGCAGCTAATGCTGGCAACTCACATGCAATGGCATTTTTGGGGAAGGTAAGGCATACCACCTTTGAGCTGTGTATTTGGAAATTACTTTTTGATTACTACTTCAATCAGAGGATTTATACTGTAAAAAATAAAACATAGCTAAATGTCAGTGTGATTGTCTATTTAAATGTTTCTCTAAAAGGCAGTATCTGACATAACTTCAACAGAGAATGAACAAGACCCAAACCTTCCTAGGCCAGTTTAGGGAATAGCTTTAGCTGCCATAAACACTTTTCTATTACTGATACTTCACATAAAATCCAAATAAACCAACTAAAATAATTATAAGATAGAAAAATGTGGGTTAGACAGCATCACCACCAGATGCATTCGTAGCTGGTTGACCGGCCGTACTCAGCATGTGGTCCTCAATGGAACCGCATCTACATGGAGGGAAGTGTGTAGTGGGGTGCCCCAGGGCTCAGTTCTGGGCCCAGTGCTCTTCAACATCTTCATCAACAATTTGGATGGGGAACTCATCAAATTTGCAGACAACACCAAGCTGGCATGAATCAACACTCCAGAAGACAGTCTTAGGATACAGGACAGACTTGAACACTGGGCGCTATCTAACAAAATGAAATCCAATGGTGAAAAAAGTAAGGTTCTACATTAAGGCAAGAAAAACCAAATGTACAGGTATAGTATAGGGGGTACCTTGCTCAATAGTAGTAACTGTGAGAGATGCTTTTTATCAAGTAGGATCCATTCTGTGACTACCTTGGTCCACCTGCCATCAGTTCTTCTTGCTATGTGACCAGCCCATTCCCATTTCAATTCTTTTACTATCTTGATGATATTGTATACTTTCGTTTGTTCTCTAATCCATGTGCAGCTCTTTTGATCTTGTCTTGTAATGCCAAGAGTGTATCTTTTCATGGCTCTTTGCGCCACTCGTAGCTTTTGTATCGATTGTGAGATTAGTGTCCATGTTTCACTGGTATATGTTAGAGCAGGTAGCACACACTGAACAAAAACGTTTCGGCCATAGGAGGAGGTTCTTGAAAATTATGCTTAGCTTACCAAATGCCTGACAACCACATTTAACACGCCATTCTATTTCCTTTATTGTATCACCTACTACGTCTAGTTTTTCTCCAGATATAATTTTTTTTCTTTCTTTGGTGAATTTGTTTCTTGACAACAATATAGAAATATTTCACAATCCTGGGATTTCTTTTCAATGCTTCTATGAATTGCCTGCAGCCCATTATGTTTCCTCATAGTCTCCTTTCCAAGTATCAATTAGGTCTGCTTCTGCTGAGTGTCATGGTTTCAAGATTAGTGAGGTTATCTAATCGGATTAAGGTGTTCAAACCACTAAATGAGTTATTTCCCACAGAGAACAAGACTAACGTTTCTCAAACAACCATCACTGCTAAGCTTACTTTCCTTTAATGACTCTGATACACTTATTTTTATTCACATTTTTTTTAGACTCTAAAAGAATTCAGAGAATTACTTCATTTAGAAAAAGACTGCTAATTTAGACATAGGAATCAATTTTATAGTGTTATTATGGTAGAAACCTTCAACCTTGGAAGGTTTATAAGACATCTTCAGATTTTACTGGTCTGTCAAATAAGTCACACTTTGTAAATTTTATTAATTAGACAATTTTCCTGGAGAAAATCTGACAGAATGCTTTCCTCCTTAGTAATTTCATCCACTAAGCAAGAATTGAGATTTACTTAGGTACATCTTATTATTGGAGACTTTCTCATACAAAACTGAAAGAGGAATATTGCACATTTTTTGTAGAATTCTATTAGTTTGATTAAACAGGTGCTCCGAACTACAAGTGGCTGGCTGACCTTTAAGAACTACAAGAAAGTGTTCACAGATATAGAGGTGATGTTTCTTCTGCACTGTAGTTTGTAAGGTACAGGTTGGAAGGAGATTTTTCTCCCTTCCCTTTTTTAATGGATCTTTACACTTGTTTCTTCCTCTGTCACAAAATAAAAGTTAGACAAGCAAAACCAATCCAAGAGGCAAATCTGGATCATTGCAAGTCTTGCTTCCAGAATGAGGGGGGGAATATATGTCCATTTTTGGATGTTCTATTAGATCAAGCCAAAAGGAACCTTAACAGAAAGGACAATAGGCTATTCTTTCTCTCAGAGGAAGAATCTTTCTTCTAAGATTCTGTTACGATACATGCATTGATCAACTAAAACAAAATTTTACAAAATAGTTTTACATTTAAGCAACTTTAATGATATTATTATGGCTTTCATTAATGTTGGTATAATTCAAAGAAAAGTTCTGCATTAAGATATTATGCCAAAGATTAAATATTTTTTTCTAAAATTAGACTCTTAATAACTTTTAATTACATTTTGTTTTTATAGATGTATTCAGAAGGAAGTGATATTGTACCTCAAAGCAATGAAACAGCCCTTCAGTACTTTAAGAAAGCTGCTGACATGGTATGTTGCTGAAATTTTGGTTACAAAAACTCATATATATACAACCATATCTCTGGAAGCCAATCATTTTGAAAGGAAGTGTTCTTCACACAACAAATACATATTTGTTTGTTTTTGAGGAAAATTATTGTTTCTGATATATTCAGAAAATCCAAATAAAAATGCATTTTTCAAAAATCACATATGTTCAGTATTCTCCATTTATGACGCTCCACCTTTATTAATAAACTAGTTAAGTGGTTTTAAGCAATATGACTATTGCTCATATTTGTAAGACATATGTGACCCTGTGGTAGTATCTGTCATTTGTCCCATACAATAAAATTCATATATGCAAGTCTGATTATTTTCTTCAAGTGCTTTATGTCCAATTTGTCCTGACATAAGACTGGGCATTATGACAATTTAGTAATTATGTGAACAAAATGGAAAATGTTTGTCTTCAGCTCCGGGTAAACCTGCCCTATTGATTCAGTATCTTGCATATTATATGTTTTATACGGAACAAAACTCAAAATATTTCAACAGAGGGAGTTTGGAACAGGTCCTTTGATGCCTCATTTTTCACCTCAAGGCCACAAAAATAGATAATCAATGCTAACTATAATCTATACAAATTGTCCAAAGGGATAGTTTTGAACCGTTCTAAATTTCCCACTGCAAATAATATAATTGGCATGCCTGGGGAAGGGTTGCCAGCCTAATAAATACTTGCAAAAATAAAACATAGGAACCATGATAGTTTTGTTTTGAACTTAAAAACTTCTCTTCAGGATTGGAATATTTGTTTCCCAATCTGTCTTTTTACAAGTTACTAGTTTTGAGTTAGATTTTAATCACAGTCTTGTATTTCAGGGCAATCCAGTAGGACAGAGTGGTCTGGGAATGGCTTATTTATATGGAAGAGGTGTTCCAGTGGTAAGTCTCCTTAGGAAAATGGCAGTAACAACTCTATTAAAAAGAGAAGGTTGTTTTTGCAATATTAGAATCGTATTGTTTATATAGCCCTTTGTATTGCACTTAAATGGATATAAAGGAAAGTATCATTTGAAATGGAAATTAGAAAAAATATACTTTCAAGTGGTGGAAATGTTCAGATAAACAGTTCCAAGTATCTTTCAAAGATCCTGGAGTACTGGGGAACTACCAGAGGACTGCTATGGAATGCTTAAGTCCTCAGACAGATTCATATTTTACTCATTATCACTTAGAAGCAATATATGTATTCACATTAAAACATAATAAAAGAGATTTAGGATTGCACTGAAGATTTTTTTAGTGCACTTTAGTGTAGAATCCTGCCTGATCCTCCATCCTCTGTGTCCCCCTTTAGAACCATGATCTGGCCCTGAAGTATTTCCAGAAGGCAGCAGAGCAAGGATGGGTCGATGGACAGCTTCAGCTGGGCTCCATGTACTATAGTAAGAGACCTTTCTGATATTCAGAATTTACATTTTGGAACTGATATCTCATTTTTTACAGGAAGATGTTGGAAGTAATTGAATAATCGACACTTTGGTTTTCTTTTTTAGGAATGAAACATTTGTAATTTTCACCTCACAAAAATATGGCATAAATTAGATTATTAACCTTTAAAGCATGTCATTTTAAAAAGTGTCATTGTTGAATCAGTTTCTTTTTGCCTGCATATTATTGATCTTTTAATATGTATCCTTGCCAAAATAATTTTAAATAACAGACCAGAGTGCATCTCTGTTTCATAGCCAGAAAAATAAATATAATAGTGTATGGTTGGTTGGGAGTTATTATGTATTATTTTATTTCTGAATTGTCTAATAATTGAACCTCTTTGGGCAGATTATGGTTAATAAAGATATTAAAAAGAATAAAACTCATTCATACTTAGCACAGGATAGTTATTATAAAGCTAATGGAAGCCACAATTCATATTTTCATAGAATGAAATTGACATGTTGTTTTATTTAGTGACCTAAAGTCTTTCCCGCTTTTGATTATATTGATCCAGGAAGTGGATCAAGACACTGAGCTCTTTTAGTTGCGCTGTATGTTAGGACAACAAATATAATGTGTCAAGCAGAAAGCAAGATTTCAGGTTTGCACCAGACTTGTTAACTCTAAATTGTAGGCAACTGAATGGTTCGTAAGTTCATTTAGAATTATGTATTTTAATTTCACAATTCAGACTGAACTGGTGAATCTTGTTGTTGTCAACTAAGTGAAATAGCAACATTGATCAAATTTAGAGAGTGTACAGATCAAAGGACATCAATTCAATTATTCCTGCTAATTCTTTTCTATTTGTAGATGGCATTGGAGTCAAAAAAGACTATAAGCAAGCCTATAAATATTTTAATCTGGCTTCTCAAGGGGGCCACATTCTGGCTTTCTATAATTTAGCACAGATGCATGCTACTGGCACTGGAGTAATGCGGTCCTGTCATACTGCTGTTGAGGTAAATATTAGTTGTTTTCCTAAATGCAGGGACAATGAGCAGACAGTGTTGCACTTGTTTTAATGAAGTTCTGATTCTGTTTTAAGATGGGTCATCTTTGGGGGAATATAAATACAGCAGCAATGAACTATTTCAAATAATTTAGTATTACCATGGAAATACTTTAATTGGAATATATTCAAATAAATGCAGGGCTTGACTTTCTATAAATATGAAGAATACAGTTTGCTGTTTAAAGAGTGAAGTCATCTATCTGGATAACAAAAGGCTTAAATTTCAGCCTGCTTATTAACATGAATTATTCCAGGTTAAGTATTTTTTCTTTAAAGTTTCACATAAAGTAAGATGAATTCTAAGAGAAATTCAAACAACAGAATTAGCTTGCTAAAACAACAGTAGCTACTGATGAAATGTATTCACTCTTTTTCCCTATATGCACCAAAATCTGGAGCTTTGGTGGCTTCTCAAGAATGAAATTGTGAGCTTGATGGGAAAAGTTCAATGCTAAAACATTTAATGTAATCTAGAAACATTAAAAATAGGATTTGTTGGGAATTTGTGCTGTTCACTGAGTTCTTAAACATGTTTGATAATCTTTTTACCTAATGCTTGATTGCTCTTACTCATTCTTCATCACTGTTGAATGTTTGTGCAGATAATGAACAAGATAATTGTTTCTGCAACTAGAATATATTTCTAAATAGACAATACATAAATTAAAATTACCTTTTTTTCCCCTATAGCTATTTAAGAATGTGTGTGAACGGGGCCGTTGGTCTGAGAGACTTATGACTGCTTACAACAGCTATAAAGATGGCAATACAAATTCTGCAGTTGTTCAGTATCTCCTTTTGGCAGAACAAGGCTATGAGGTTGCACAAAGCAATGCTGCCTTCATTCTTGATCAAAGTAAGGATTAAATAGTTCCTTATATTGCTGGTCTAGTACAATGCAGTGGTAATTTTTAGCACCCAATTCTTACTTTTGCTTAGTTGCTTTTGTCTATGCACAAATGCATGTGATATATCAATTTAATATTCATATGAATTATGAATGAAGCATATATCCACACAGGAGTCGTAATCCCATAAAAAAATTAAAAATTCAAAAGCATTCTGAAATTAGTATTCTAGAACTCTAAACAGAGTTTATTGAAATATTTCTTTTTTTCCTTTGATTGTTCAATTATCAGACTCAAGTGAAAAATTCTATTTAAATGCCATTTCAAAATGAAAGCATTCATCTTATTTCCTTTTTAAATTATATGTATGTATAATTTAATCTCTGGAGCAAAGATGACACCAGCCACACGGACAGCTTTACCTTACATCTGTGGTGTTTCCGAAGCCACGGCTCGGCTGCTGGCCCCCCACAATGTGAGTGTTGCCCATAGACCAAAGCAGACCCTAAGAACTCAGATTATGCATCCCAAAGAGCCACTCCCCAATAGTGAACAGTCTTCCATAGTCTATAGAATTAATTGCAGGAACTGCCCCTGCAATTACGTTGGGGAAACAGCTAAAAGGCTCAGGACTAGGGTCCACGAACATGAACTGGCAATCAAAAGGCAGGAGCAGCGCTCACAAGTGTGGGCTCACATGGCCAATTTAAACCATACATTTGATCTGGAAAATGCACAGACCATATCTCGTGAGACCACTAAGAGTGGGCGCCTTCTCAAAGAAGCCTGGCTTTTGGATGAAAATTCCATCAACCGGCACATAGACCTCCTACCAGCATACCAGACTCTCAGAAGATGGGAGAAACAACGTGGTAATCCACGGGGTAGATGGCCATCCCATACGGTGCAAAAGCAAGACCATGGCTCTACAAATGGAGAAGCTGCGATCCCTAGGGAGGGCAGTGAACTGGCAAAAGAGGAGGGGGGGGCGGGTGACACCACGAGATAGCAACTGGCAGGACTGGAGTGACAGGGCTGCAGGTGAGGTGGCAAGAGCTGCTATGGGAGGAGATGACAAACGGCTTGGAAGGAGAGACAAAATAGAAGGGGAGAGTATGAAGCAGAAACATCTGAATAGTTGTTCTTTGCAGGATCAGGGAGAGGGAGCTACAATCATAAGATCCACCAACAGGCTGCCAGATGAGAATCAATTTAATACATTGCAGAGTAACATAGCTAATGGGCCAATAACGCGTTCGAGGAGCTGGGCAGCTGTATATAGGCAAGCTCCCTAATCACCTAGCATTCTAACTCTGTGACGTCAGTAGTTTGGCTGATGAAAGCTCAGTAGGTAACTTTTTTTATTCACAGGCTTGTTTATATTAAACAGTCCTGTTTATTTTATCCTGGTTCATTTTTCTTATTTATTTATTTATATATATATATATATATAATTTAAAAAGGAAATAAGATGAATATAAAATCAATATATATAATGTCAATACATTAATTGCTAGATATAAATCAAGTTCTAATATATTTTAATAATAATGAATAATATGAATTTGTAGACTTAACTAATTAAAAGATAACCAAGAATTAGTTCAGTTACTCACACTCCTTTCCAGTACTAAATAATTGGATAGTTGAAAATATATAAAATAAACAGATGATGTTTAATATTGTCAACAGAAAGCAAATTCTGCTGAACTGATTCACCCAACATAAATTTTCTGTTTATCCCCTTAATAATAGATTTCATTTAAAACACATTAAGCTATCAATTAACATACATATATTTTGGAGTTCATCTCCTCTGTTCTTTGCTTATCAGTATTTACCATCTTATGTGCAGCAAAAATTAATAGTTATGTTTGCAGATAGGCTATTAGCAGTGCTGAAATTTAGTGCTATAAACTCTTTTATATCAAATTGAAGTAGCCTAGATAACTTAATATTTGCAAAAAAATTGACTGTTTAGCCAGTTGTCTAATTTTGTAGGTTTCTAGTGCATCAGCTTCTAATTCTTTCTATCCCATTCAGTTTATGAAAGCTAATCTCATAAACTGAAATCTCATTATATTACTTCAGTGGCTATATGAAGTATTTGTATGACTTATATGAGTGAGGCAATGTTAATATAAATTAAACTCAGACAACAAGGGCCCAAACAGTTCATAAAAGACTCCAAGCATTTCTGCATTTTTTTCACTGGACTAGAAAAGAGGGATAATCCTTAAATCCAGTGCGTATTTCAGATGTGCCTCAAACAATATTTTCTGCATTGCATTTGGTTTTTATATACATTTGACAAAATGTCTGCTTAAAATTCAGGTTGCACAACTTTTTGTCAAGCTGAAAGTTATATTTCACCATTAAATGGCAGCTGAGACTTCAGGACGAAGTCAGAAACCAAATTCGGTTTCATTTATTTTCTTTACTACTTAATTAGAATTATATAACCTTATCAGGATAACTCTCCAGTCACATATTCAATAATTTTCCCTTCCACAGTGTGTTTTTTTTAAATATACAATAACTTCTGGAAGTTTTTGTTTGCTCCATCCAAGACTTCAGTTAATGCACCTTGGACATATTATTTTTATTTTATGTTTTTAGCCTTTTTTCATAATAAAATACGATCATGATGAATCTTTTGTCCAGGCATCTGAGACAATTAGTGAGCTCTGACTTTACTGAGCTTTAACTTTGCAGAATCCAGTAATCACCATGATTCCTCAGCTGATTAACATGCTTGCAAACAAGGATACTGATTCCGTGTTGAAATAATTCGGGGGGGGGGTGTCATTTTTTTAGTTAATTTATGCTAAATTAACAAAAGCAGTGGCATATAAAGAAAACTTATATAAAATATTTTACAGATGGCATTTAACACCAGTGAAATTAGCAAAAATGTTTAAAAAATACTTCAAACAAATGTTGGAAATGCAAACAAAAACCAGATACTCATTACCATATCTGGTGGACATGCTCTAAAGCTAAAAGATTTTGGTCAAAAATATACTTATGGTTGGAGAAAATGACTAAGAAACAAATAGACTTTAAGCCAGAATTATTTTTGTTAGGAATAATAGGAGCAAATTATGAGAAAGACTATATATATATTTAATTTTACATGTACTAACTGCAGCAAGAATTGTATTTGCCGAATATTGGAAAAATGAAAACTTACCAACTGAAGAAGAATGAATTAAGAAAATTTTAGAGTGTGCAGAAATGGATAGATTGACTTTAAAGATAAAAGAGAAAGAAGATTCAGTGTATTTTAGAACATAGGATAGAAAAGTGAGTTAGAGAGAAAGGAATGTGATATGTAACTTTGAATATATACTAGTAAGAAGAAGACTATTGAGCAATTAATTAACATATTGTTTATGATAATTACTATTCATTGTTTTTGTAAAATACATGAACCCGGACATCATGCTGTTTGCTAAATATTAACAATGTTATTTTAAAAAATCCTAACTCCAACCCCACCCTATTCCTGTGTGCAAGCACTTGGAGGGCAGCTGTCAATCCGTCTCTATGCCCAGTCTCCCTCCCTCCCAGGGCCATTATCCTCTGTGCTCTAAAAGAGCACCTGAGGATCGTAAAACAACTAGTGGAGCCAAGGACAGTTTGCCTGATGCGGAACAACTCTGTGCGATATGGATTAATACAATCAACGGACCGATGATGCGCTCAAGGAGCCGGGTGCAGAGGCAGGAGGCTATATGAGCTGCCTTCCCAATCTCCTTCTATTTTAACTCTGATGACGCCAGCAGTTTTGGCCAGATGAAAGCTTAGTGACTCTTCTTAACCACAGGCTTGTTTATATTAAACAGTCTGGTTTATTATATCCTGGTGTTTGTTTTTTCTTTTATTTGGTTAACATAATGCCCAGGATTCATATTTTTAGTATTTTAAAAGACAATTATGAGCAAGCTGTGTTGCTCCACGCCAGGAGATGGGAGAAGCTCGCACGGCGCATACCCACTGGCTACCGTAAACTGGCTTTTATTCATGATTGCCTCCGAGGAGATCACCCCCCCCCAAGTCATTACAAAGAAAGCCCCTCATAGACTCGGCAGAGTGCAAGAGGAATACCCGTCAATTCCAGCTTTGCACCATGCGCGCTTCAATCAACGAACATTATAAGCACATGTGGAAGGTAGGAATCCAAGAACATCGTGAATGCTGCCATGCCACACTGATACATCAACACTATCAGGCACTCCACCAACAGGTCCACCAGGCCACTGTAAGAGCGAGCCGGCAAAAATCAATTGCACTCCAATGCAAAATGGACATCTGTGCCAGATAACGGTGGGCACACTATTAAGCTAGTCCACAATCTGTTCTCCAAACCCCTGACCCAGGAATAGATTTCCCTCTTAGAACGGGATGCAGGCCACAACCTGACGGACGCACGGGCAATTGACTTCATGGTATCCTTAGAGCCTACCATCCAACGCATCGAGGCCAATGACGAGGTCAGAAGTACAATCAGACAGCGGGTTACAGGCCTGCTGATTAACCATAAATGGCGTCAGGTGCTCCCTAGAGAGGAAGAGGCCCTGGAACAACTAAAAAAGGACAACATTATTGTCATACTCCCAGCTGACAAGGGCAGGGCAACTGTGGTTATGGACAGATCAGCGTATTTTGACAAAGCCCAGGCATTACTTAATGACACCATGGCCTATAGAGTCATCACCAAAGATCCGATGACAACGCACACAAACCGCATCAATAAGGTACTTAGTAACCTCAAATGTCGGGGTAAAATCAACGACGATACATTGAGGAGGATATGTCCCAGCGATGCAGGCATGGCTAGGTTTTATGGCCTCCCGAAAGTACACAAAGAGGGGATTCCCCTATGACCTATTGTGTCCTTCAGGGACACACCCACTTCGGGACTAGCCAAATGGCTTAGCGGTCGCATCAGCCACTTGGTTGATAACAATGAGACCACTGTGAAATCGGTTGAGAAGTTTCTAGAGAGAGTAAAGCCCCTAAGGATAGAGAAAGATGAGGTAATGATATCATGTGACGTTACCTCACTCTTTACCTCTATCCCTCAAGATCTGGCGGTCACAGCAATAAGAGACTTCCTACAAGAGGGGCCGAAACAACATAAGGACTCTCTCCATACCAATGATTTAATACAGTTGCTAACCTTATGCCTGAAGACATACTTCACATTTCGGGGCGTGGTATACGAACAAATAAAAGGGATGCCAATGGGATCCCCCATCTCAAGCATTATTGCTGAGGTGGTTCTTCAGCAGCTAGAGTCAATAGTAATGTCTAGGTACCACCCAAAATTTTGGGCGCGTTATGTAGATGATACTTTTGTGGTTGTCAAAAGATGGGATAGCGCTAAATTCTTGGAGGAACTGAACTCGGTATATCCAGATATCTGCTTCACCGCAGAAGAAGAGACTCAAGGCAGTCTTGCCTTTCTGGATGTACTGATCAGCCGATGCCCTCATGGCACATTGTGCACGTCTGTATATCGTAAACCCACCCATATAGACAGAATGCTACATTATAATAGCAACCACCCGGTAGCACACAAAATCAGCTGTATCCAGACGCTATTTAAACGGATCAATTCCCATTGTAGCATGGGCAGAGCTAAAGTCGAGGACAAAAAACATCTTCATCACATTCATGCGCAATGGCTATCCCATGGGGTTTGTGGGACAGCATAGTAGACCACATCGAAATCATAGAGACTCACGCTCCAATGTGACAGCAATGCTGGCCACATGAACAACCCTCCCTTACATTCATGGTGTCTCCGAGGCCACGGCATGGCTGTTGGCCCCCCACAATGTGAGCGTTGCCCATAGGCCTGAGCATACCCTTAGGTCCAAGGTTATGCATCCAAAAGAACCGCTCCTCAATGGTCAAAGATCGTCTGTGGTTTACAAAATCAATTGCAAAGACTGTGCGAGCAATTACGTTAGGGAAACTACTAAAAGGCTGAGGACCAGGGTCCATGAACATGAACTGGCCATTAGAAGGTAGGAACAACGCTCACAAGTGTGGGCCCATATGTCCAGCTCTAGCCACACTTTCAATCTAGCTAATGCAAAGGTTATAGCTCGTGAGACTACCAAGGGTGGCCGCCTACTCAAGGATGCCTGGCTCTCTAATGAAAATTCCATCAACCGGCATATAGATCTTTTGCCGGCTTACCAGACTCTTAGGAGATGGGAAAACCAGTGCCACAGCCTGCTGAGAAGACATTTAACTCTTCCTTTGCAGGATTGGGGCAGTAGAATGATGGATGAGATTGGCACGATCTCTAAGGAAGACAATGACAGCGTTTTGCATAATTGGAACGATGGCTCTATAGGTGAGACGACCACAACTCCCATGGACCGAGATGATGGACCAAACGGTCCTAAGCCAGGGACGGACGCGCTGAGGCGATCTGGAAGGAGGGGGAGGGAGGGGGAAGACAGCAGTAATGCCGGAACAGCTATTTGTTGCAGGACTGGGGTGGAGGAATTACGACAACGGCCTTGGGGTGGGGGAGGATAATGGCCCTGGGAGGGAGGGAGACTGGGCGTAGGGACGGATTGACAGCCACCCTCCAAGTGCTTGCACATGCTCTAAAAGAGCACTTGAGGATCGTAAAACAAGGAGCCAAGGACAGTTTGCCTGATGCGTAACAACTGTGCGCGATACGGATTAATACAATCAATGGACCGATGACGCGCTCAAGGAGCCGGGTGCAGAGGCAGGAGGCTATATGAGCTGCCTTCCCAATTTCCTTCTATTCTAACTCTGATGATGCCGGCAGTTTTGGCTGGACGAAAGCTTAGTGACTCTTCTTAACCACAGGCTTGTTTATATTAAACAGTCTGGTTTATTATATCCTGGTGTTCGTTTTTTCTTTTATTTGGTTAACATAATTTTTGGTGTTTTAAAAGAGATATATACATATATATAAATAAAAATAAAAAAAATAATTCAGGTTCAAGTTCCGTTCATCTCTGTTTTTGTGTTGCTCATTTGAAGAACAGCAAAATGGGTAACATGATTAATACTAAATGACAAGAAAAGAAATGACTTGGCTCTTTACTGTCTCACCCTTTTCCCCCCAACACTATAGAAGAAGCCAGCATAATAGAAGAGAATGAAACCTATCCAAGAGCCTTATTACACTGGAACAGAGCAGCCTCACAAGGTCAGTCATTTCAGAATTTAGTCCAGTTTCCTAGCAATAACCTCAAGAACAGAGCTGTTGTGGATGGTTTTTGATCATACTAAGGAATTGTAGCAGTACTTGTTTAATAGCTGAAAGCAGATCTTGATAATAATGTACCATATGTTTTAATAGAAAACTGAATCTAAATATATTTTATAGATTTAGGGTATCAGAGGTTGCTTCTGCATCCATATTCTTGTTGTATTAGTTGCCATAGTCAGTTTGAAGTGAAAACATCATTTTTGAAGTAATTTAACCTAGAAATCATATTCTAAATAATAGGAATAAGGGCAGATACAGATTGTGTCTGCAGTGCAAGTCTGTTCTCTCCACATTAATTGCAACATCTTGAAAGGAATGCAAAAACCTAAACAATATTACAAGTTCTTTTATAGATTTTATTTTCTTGATAGGTTATACTGTTGCTAGACTAAAACTTGGCGATTATCATTTCTATGGTTTTGGCACTGAAGTTGATTATGAAACTGCATTTATTCATTATCGCCTGGCAACAGAGCAACAGCACAGTGCCCAAGCCATGTTCAACCTAGGATACATGCATGAAAAAGGACTTGGAATTAAGCAGGTAAGCAAGTGCATAGTTATTCCTGTAGTTTTGCAGTATCCCAAATATATGTTTCAAAAGACTGTCACAATCTGCCTTTAAATAAGTGAGAAATAAACATGTGGCTTTCAACCTAGCTGCAGAAGATTCTGTAAGTGATCATTTCAGACTTTGACCAAAATAATCAAATTATTGTACTATTCTCGGAGTAGAGATTATTTGGATTGATAAAATCATTTTAGTGTGATGCATAATCATAAAGATAGTCAAAAGCACAAGGTATAACTATTTAAAACCATACTTTCCAAAGTTCTTGTTAACTTTTTATTATTCTGTCATAAGCATTACTAAAGAACAATATTAAATTTTATCCCATTAACTCATGGGATAAGTAATTCTTGTGAATACGTACACCAAAGGAAGAAAGGAGAATCTCTGTACAATATTCATATGATCTGGTTAGCTCTGTTTTTGCAAATTCATGTTTTATATATGTTATAGGATATTCACCTTGCAAAACGCTTCTATGATATGGCAGCTGATGCTAGTCCTGATGCTCAGGTTCCTGTCTTCCTTGCACTTTGCAAGTTAGGAATTATTTATGCCTTCCAGTATGTACGAGAAACCAATGTAAGTAATGATAAAGAAAATGGTGTTATTTATGTAATCTATATAGTGGTGATAGCTTTTCTTTCACCTGATTAGCTTTGATGGATTTATGTAATATCTATATCTATTCATTTATCCATCCATCTATACCCACACACACAAACATATGTACACATGCATGCATGCGCGTGCACACACACACACACACACACAGAGAGAGAGAGAGAGAGAGAGAACATAGAACAGTTTCTAGGATTTGGCTGAGAAAATATTTTGAATTTTATTTCCATTCCATTTCTATGGAAATATCTTTATATTTTTGGGTCAGATATAATGCTTATGATTTTAGTTCAGTTCAGTTTATCCAGAATTTCAAGGACCAATTGTAAGTACCACTTGTTTAGCACTGTTGTGCCTTCAAATAGTTGTTGAACAAATGGTCCTTAATTAAGGACTGCTTACATTGCACAAGCAATACTATCCTTGTGAGGAACTTTTCCAGTATTCAGATATGCTATTCCAAGTATTGCAAAAATGGTCTAGCTCAGGGGTAGGCAACCCAAAACACTTAAAGAGTCACTTGGACCCGTTTCCCACCAAAAACAAAACACTGGGAGCCGCAAATCATTTTGATATCTAAAATGAAGATAACACTACATATATCCTTTTTTACCTTTATTATAGGTGTGTGTGTTTGTGTGTGTGGGGGGTATTTGTGTGTATGTGTGTGTGTGTGTGTGTGTGTGTGTGTGTGTGTATATATATATATATATATATATATATACACATACATACATACATACACACACACACACACACAAATACACATACACACACAGGTTAAAAAAAGGATATATCAGTGTTATCTTCATTTTAGATGTCAAAAGGGTCTCTCTCTCTCTCTCTGTCTCTCTCCCTCCTTTTCTATCTGCCCTTGGTCTACCACTCCTCTTCCCCCACTCTCTTTCTCTCTCTCTCTCTCCCTCTCTCTCTTTCTCTCTCTCTCTTTCTCCCCCCCTCTCCTATCTGCTGCTCACCTGGCAAGCTTCAAGCTGTTGTCCAACAAGATCAGGGGTAGGCAACCTCGTCTCTTTTATGACTCATGGACTTCAACTCCCAGAATTCCTGAGTCAGCCTAGCTGGGCTAGCTAGCTCTCTCCTGCCCTTCCTGCTTCCTGCAGAGACGCAGCAAAGGGAGGAGCTCCGCCCAGTAAGCTTTTCAGCGCCTCGGAGAACATGTGAGTACACTCTCTTTTACACATACACACACACAATACACAAACACACACACATACACAGAGAGAGATTGAAGCAGGGAAGCGCAATTGCCTCTCTCTGTCTCTCTCTCTCTCTGCAAAGGCAGAGGAGGCTGGGAGCCACAGGGGAAGGCTCAAAGAGCCGCATGCGGCTCCGGAGCCGCAGGTTGCCGACCTGTGGTCTAGCTTCAGATGTACTCATTCCAACTTGTGCTTCAGATTAGGTCCTCTGAAAGAACTATTACTTGAGAAGGAAGTTGTTCTTAGCTGAGACTTTTCATGTTATCAAAGCACAGAGTATGAAAATTGCATCTAGTCCGGTATTCTTCCCAAAGGGATTCAGAAAGTCTGTGAGCATGAAAAGAGAAGTCCTCTCCTGCTATTAAGCCTTAGCAATTAATATTTAACAAAATAGCATGAGATATTTTAGCCTGTCCACAGACGAAAACAAGTGTTTTATTTGTTTTAGGCACAAGTGGCTTGGGTGAAATGGGGAAAAAGCCAAGGATACTGACAGCCAGAGAGAGGGAAATTAAAGAAAAGTGTAATATGTCATTATAGGAGCCCATTTTTATCGTCAGAAGCATCAGCAGAAGAATAGGCAGACAGGCACATAAATCATTGGAAGGGAGGAAGGGGAAGACAAGCAGACAACCTAGTGAGATAGGTTGTAGTGGAAGCTTCTTAGTACTAAGGCTGTCAGGAAAGGAACAGATGTGCAGGCCAGTCTATCAGCCATTGTGGCAGTTGAAGGGACCGTTTGAGAGACACTGAGAAAGCTAGGGATATGCTGTTCTCAGCTGCTCTGTAGAGAAAAGAGGACACCATGTACACAAGCCTCACCTCCTTAGGATTTTGTTTCATCCCAAATCTGGAACAATCAAAGCATTCTGGACATCAGTTGCAGCTAACTGACTGATCAGAACTCATTTATTGGATTTGTTCTTAGTTTGAAACTAAATGTTTTCATACATCAAACATACCAGGACTGGATTATTTCTTCTGCACTGTTACTATCCATCAAACATAGTAGTCTTGCCATTTAGAAAGATGCTGAAACTATGGGGAATTTTATACACATTATGGTTACGCTATTGAGAATTAATTGTCTCTTCCCCATCCACTCCCGGTGTGTTTCTGTTTAGGTCAAGGAAATATTCTCGCACCTGGACATGGACCAACTCTTGGGCCCTGAGTGGGACCTTTACCTCATGACCATCATTGCTTTACTTTTGGGCACAGTAATAGCTTACAGGCAGAGGCAGCATCAAGGAGTCCCAAGGCCTGCGGGTCCACGACCAGTGGTACCTCCTCAAGAACCTGCTCCAGAACCGCAGCCACCCCAATAGTAACAGCGGGAGATTCAATGAAGTGAACTGGAATTTCTAGCTCTTCTTGTGATCTTATGACAACAGATCAAATAGTTACATACACACCAGATTCAAAAAAGTGTTGAATTGAGAAAGCAGTTTAGAATTATGCCTTTTTTCAGGGATTTTTTGAGATGGAGTGGAATGTTATTTCTGTGCCAATGGAATAACAAAATAGATTTTGTGAAAAAGAAGTCTGCTACTTCAAAAGTGATGCCTACTATATTTAGTTTATTCAGTGCCCTTTTCAACTGTCCTTTGATTGTTCAAAAAGAAATATATTATGAAGTTTAATATGAGAACATCAGACCTTGTGCTCTTTTAAGTAAAAGGCTGTTGTCTTTTCCAAATATGTTTGTGATTGTGATAAACGACTTTATTTTATGGTTCTCCCAATTATTTTGAAACCAACATAAACCTCTGTAGTGGTATCAGCCATGAGGGTCTGGATCCTTTATCTTAGAATTACCAGTCATAAACAGATATATATTCATGGGCTACTCTTTCTAGAGGTCAGGTTTAAAATGCAAACTACACTTGTGCAATGACTATTTAAATAAGATGAAACCTCCATATTTTGTTTAGCATTCAGACTTGCTTGAATTATGCACACTCAAGAATCTTTCTGATATATGTTTTCCCAAGTGTACATGGCAGCTTGTTTAGTCTTCCTTTTTATTGTTTCACAAGTATGCCAAGATTTATCCAAGAAATGGGCTGAAAAAAGGACCAGTGTTAATCAACCTCAGAAGACCTCTTTATTTCAGTAGGTTTTTTTGAAGTATTTTCTCATTGGGTATCATTGGTATGCTTTTCAGTCCATCATAATATATTCTTATGATTCAGACTTATTTGGGGTTGAAGATTGTGCAATTAAGTGTTATTAATATAACTGCTATCTACATATCTCTTTAAAATATGCACTCTGATGTTATGCTGCACATGGCTTTTGGAGAAGTAGTCAGTGAATATACATATGATAGACTATCCTAACAGTGTTGTTTTATAACAACCTCACAATTATGAGCTATACCAGCTATGCCAGATTTGGGTAGAATGCATGTGATTTTAAAACTTTTGCAAAATGAGAGTAGAATGCATGGCCAGGATTGAAACATCAACATTTTCAAAACAGTGAGATGAGTTATATGAGATGCAGTAGAAAATCTATTCCCAAATTTCCCTTGCAATGTCATATTTTTGCTGTAATATTAATTTATGAAGATTTTATGTATTGTACTAGGAGGAAAAAACAACAAATTTTGGCTAAAGACCCAATTTAAAAAAATAGTCTACTTTTGCAAATGTAGATGGTTCTAATGCATCATTATATAATCTTGAGTACTCTTGAAAGAAATATAATTAAATACTGTTCTCTGGAAACTAAACCTTATTAAGTGCATTTCAGAAATATGCAACTTCTGTATATATCAGTAGGCTCCCTTGTGTAAGTTTAGAATACATGACAGGAACAACAAAAGTCCCCTTATAATGAAAGTGAAGAGAGAGAAATTGAGTTTGTATGACTCTAAAATACAAGGATATTTTTGAACAGGATTGCTTATATCTACAGGAAGCTGTTTTAACAGCAAGGCATATGTTTTAGCAGCAGTATTACTGAGGCAGGTAATTATGTAGAGCTCTCCTTCCACTTGTACACACTGGATAAGATGAAAAAAAAATTGCAATGAATACAAGATGTCAAAAATACAAAAAGGAAACAATAATTAAAATCTGTTCAGGTATTTGGGCTGCCGGTTTTTTTTTAAATAATTTGTGGAAAACTTAGCTATTTCAGAAAAAAAAAACTTTCCTCAAGAAACCTTGCCTCTTCTCCAATAAAAGTTGCAAATGGAAAAATGTTCCAAGTCTTTAATTTGAATAATGGTCTGCCCTTACGTGTATTGTGTACAAACTTTTATGTGATGAACTCCAGAAATTTATATTAACACACAGTAAATAAAATCCAAATTATTATATTGAAACTATTTTTTTCTGAAATATAAGGAATAATTTTTCAAAAAGATTAAAACATTTCCAATGACTTTTTCCTCTGACATTACTTTTAATTACTATGGTGAGCTATTATTTCTGCTCCCTAATTACAGGCATGTAATGATGGATTCTATATGCTTAAACTTCACTTAATATAATATCCTGCATCTAGCACTTGAATGAAAATGCAAAATTGCAACATTTTACACCTTTCTGACTTTCTGCTTTCAAAAGTCAGGATAAGCAATACAGTTCCTGTTTTTAGTGTTGTCTCATCTTTATAAAAATATTGATTTAAGTTTTATATGCTTTTGAAAAGCATGAAGCTAACTCAGGGATTTAAGAATTAATAGATCATCTAGGTTATCTGCCTAAACAATTGTATCTTTGATTATTCTAACCTATTCTAAATTGAACTTTTACCATTTATATTTAATTAAAATAAATACTACCAGAATAGAAGTACTTCAATTCTGTTGATGCTACAGAAAAGACTTTAATTTTTAAATTTTAATATGCAGAAGAGTTTAGTAAGCAACCCACTTACTTTCTGAAAGAAGGTGAATTAAACTTAATCTAAATAGGCTAGTTCAGGGGTAGGCAACCTTGGCTCTTTTATGAGTCGTGGACTTCGACTCCCAGAATTCCTCAGCCAAACATGCTGGCTCAGGAATTCTGGGAGTTGAAGTCCACGAGTCATAAAAGAGCCACGTTTGCCTACCCCTGGGCTATTTAATGGTAATCAAATTTCTGAATACAAATTGTTATAATTGAAAGGCATTCTTCTAAACTTGCTGAATTTAAAGGCTGTTTCTATAAAAAACAAAATGTCTATAGCAGACCAAGTAGGATTAGAACATAAAGTTGGTTTATTACAGGCATTAAAATTCTGTTTAAATTTAGTAATTTTACTTACCCAACCTTTTAAAAAAAAACTTATTTTACCAAATGTGGAAAATATCAGAAGAATGTTTTGGGGAATATAATTATATACTGTTTGAATATTATAGTTCAGATTGTTAGCTGCATTAACATGCTATGCATATGTATGCAAAAATTTATTCTGTGTAGATTAAACTGTTCTGAGGATTTAGTCAAGAGTATTTGAAATTATGGCAAACATTTTACCACATTAGTCAGGCTGTTAGGATCTGCATTCTTCCTCTGTATATCATAATGCATGTTAATCTAGAATCTGTAATGTGACTGTACATGAGGATGAATATTGATCTTTGAGAATGTATTCCAGTATATTAATTCTGTTCCTTAATAGTGGTAAGAGATCTGAGAGCCAAGGTTTTCTGCATTTTAAGAAACCAAATGTACCGCACTCCGACTAAAGGTAGCCATCACTGTTAGATCCAATCGCTGAACCTAAGGTTACAAGCAGGTGCAAGCACTTGCACGTGCAACACTATTATAGTAAAGCCTTGGACCCCCAAGCCACAGATTCCTGGTATAAATGGTTCAATTGATAAGAGTGGAAACCTTGGTGCATTTGTATGAACACAAAGCTTTATTTCAAATTAATATTGATAGAAACATGCTGCAAGTCGTGGCTGTCTGAAGCTGGACTTAGGCCAAAACAATCTGCTTGCTATTTGTAAAGATCCCCATATGTCAGGCCCTTCCAGCCTTTTAATATTTTAAACAGCACAATAAACTCATTTTTTTCAAAGAATTGGTATGATTTGAGTGAGTGCATTTGCAGAGAGGAAATAAATCTGTGTGTCTGACTTGGATTGGCAAAAGGATATGTCGCTAAGTGTGTATAAGGGGTTTTGTAAATTTTCTTTTGTATTTAAGATGATGCAGTATAAAGGCTGGAAAAGTGTAATATAGCTGTAAACAAAATCTGTTAATAGAGAAATGTACAGATTCATTTTGTATTATATCTTGTTAAATAAAGATGCCACTTTGATGATTGGCCTGTAATGAATGCTGTAAGAAAACTTGTGTTGCCTTTTATTAAAGATATTTTTGATAAAACAGTGATTCATATTGTTAAACTTTACATTCCCATCTTTCAAATTCAATAATGATTTGTAATCAACTGTTTATTGAGTTCTAAAATGTACATGCCATCATGTATGCCAATAATGGTTCATAAGGTAATTGCTATGAATTATGTATTTATGTATTTCATACTCATGAATGTGTTGGAAGAACAAGCAACATTCTTATATGTATATCATTTGTGGTGATATTTTGTATTGCGTGCAATATACATTAATAAGCCTAGACAAAATAAAGCTATGTCTGTAAGAACAGTTTCCAACATAAGAATGGGCATTAAAACATCCCACTGCCTTCTGGCAGCATATGTCTGTGGGCATTCACAACCCTTGAGGGTGTACGCTCTGTTTAGCAGTCACCATGGGAACAAAATTCTTTGTACAATACTAATCTTCCCATTCCCCTCTAAAGAACATAAGGATTTCTCTACACTACAGCCTTACTGATAACATTTAACATCACTTTACTGCAAAGTTTTGTTATACCCGAAAGAGTTTACATGAAAAAAAAATAATAACAGGATTTGAGAAACAATGCAGATTTGTAACACCGGATTGAAATGGGCGAACCATAATGTATCTTTCTGCAAATAAGGCCAGACCTCAATTCTTTCAGGCAAGCTGTTTTCTGTTGGCCTCTAATCTCCTATTAGATAGTTGTAAGAGCAACCACTCTAATGCATACTATAATGAAAGACTCAGTGTGCTTAGGGAAATTGCCATGACAGTAGAACAAGCCCCTAACCTGATTTTTAGGGACAAATTTAAGTCAAATGCCTGCTTGTTGCAATGAACAGCACTGCCATTCAATCATTACATGAGGTAAAAATAGAAATTAGATCATTGTATGTCAATAGATAAATAACAACCATCCCAATCTACTTCCAATTTATTTTGAAACATTTTTTAAAAAATAATAAATTACTTATTTCAATAGTATTAACATTACAATCTAGCATTTGTGTTACAAAATAGACGATATTAACTATTAAACTATATACCCTTAGTGCCACTAAAATAGAGAGCTACAAAGCTGTTTATTTTGCATTGCTCAACTTTTCTAGCATCTCTACTTTCTTATTGCTTTACATACAGAATATACTAGATGTGAGTTATTTAGCTTCATTTTTGTTCTGTTTCTTGGTCTGACTTATTGTTAGTTTATATTCATGACATTTAGTAATTTTTTGGAACTGCATTTTTAAAAGTGATTTGAGATCTGTAATGTTTTAAAAGGAAATTGCAATATAGTGCAGATATTTTGCATTTACTTTGAAAGAGAATTAAGAACTAGCTTAACTATCTTCCAATAAAATAATTAGAATAGAATATTTTTGCCTAGATTGTGCTATATATATTTTTAAATGAAGAATTAAGTTGATATTTTTTGCCTGAGAAAAAATACACAGAATAGAAAATGATAAAATGAGATAATGTTGAACAAAATGAAATAATATGATCTAATTCTATAATTCCTTTTTCTTACTTTTTGTTGTTTTATTGAAGGTTGTCTACTGAAGTTCATACAAATTGTTCAATCTGTAAGAAAAAAACCACTCCCAAAGCAATAGGAATGAACTTGTACATTTGAGGGGAAATTGTTTAAATCCAGACTCCTATCCTCCAGCATGAACAACCCAAACAGATTATTGACTCACATTCAAGCTGTTTTTAGCCAGACAGAATCTTTATGTAAACATGGAGCAGGTACACTTCAGTGTCAAAGCTGAGAAACTCATTTGACTCAAAGAGCAAGAGGAAAAGAAATATATAGGTGGGTTTTTGCATTCTGCAGTAACTTCCGAGTATTGGGGTTGCACAGTTGAGTTTCTGAAAAAACAGACTGATAACTATGCCTGGCCTGTATTCTGACTGCATGATATTGAAAATGTGTATTAACTACTTATAAAGTATTGTTATACAGAAAGATATATTTTCAACCCATGGTTTTTTATTTATTTGTTTACCCTTTTGTTCAATATATATGGCTGTTCTTCTCAGTAAGTATATCGAAGTGGTTGGATTGTTTATTTTTATTTATTTATTTTGCAGGACATAGACTAAACCTGTTGGCTTCATCATTATTCTGCCCCTTCATATTAGAAGAGCAATACTAAATTCTGTTTCATATTTTCATCAAATTCAGGTAATATAATTTGATATACTGAAATAGTATGTGAAATTGATAGATGATTGGATAAAGCCTGTCCTAATAATAATAATAATAATAATAATAAAGTTGGAAGGGGCCTTGGAGGTCATCTAGTCCAATCCCCTGCTCAGGCAGGAAACCCTATATCATTTCGGACAAATGGCTGTCCAGTCTCTTTAAGAAACTTCCAGTGTTGGAGCATTCATAGCTTCTGGAGGCAGGTTGTTCCACTGGTTAATTGTTCTAACTGTCAGGAAGTCTCTCCTTAGTTCTAGGTTGCTTCTCTCCTTGCTTAGTTTCCATCTGTTGCTTCTTGTCCTGCCTTCAGAACTTTTCGTAACTAGAAGAAAATATCCTCAACTCCATCTTAAAAGCACTGAATAGATTGCTGTAGATGGTAGGCTTCTTTAATTAAAAATTGGGCAGCACTGTTTTAGATTTTTTTTCTTTATTCCAATAGTTATTATTTTTATAAGTAGGTCAAGATGGTGAACATGCATTATACTCCCTCCTCCAATTTTCCCCACAACCCTAAGGGGTGAATTCGGCTGAGGGAGAGTGAATGACCCAAGGTCATCCGATGGCTTTCATGCCTAAGGCAGGACTAGAACTCAGACTACTGGTTTCTAGCTTTAACCAATAGACCAAACTGGCTCAAATTTTGTTCCTCCTCAGCAGATATCATTTGTTGGTTTATTCATACAATTTATATGGCAACCAATCTCGTTGCAGTGACTGTGTGTGCATGTATGTATTACTTTATTAAATTTCTACAAAAGGTAAAAGAAAAAAGAAAAAAATAAGGAAAAGTCCAAGAAATGAAGAAGAAAAATAATAAAAAAGTACTTTCAACTTTCTTCAATACAGTTACAAAAATAAAATACAAGCAGCTTTTGCTCTAAAATTCAGTAGCATATAGTATTTCTATAATCCTAAAGACATGACCGCAGTGATGCTACAATATTCATGTGAAAACCAGTCACAAGTCATTTTTTACAATTTCTACTATGTACTATACTTGCCCTGGATTGCTTCAGTTAAAACATATTCATTCTCTTTCTAGTCCAGTAAGACTAGATTCCACGACTCTCCCTCTCTCCCTCCCTCCCTCCCTCTCTCTCCCCCTCTCCCCAACTTACAGGCAGCTTACAAAATATTAAAACAAGATTTCTTACAAGTAACAAATACACTGAGCTGATGCTCTCTGATATAATTTACATAAAATTCCTAATCACATGGGCTGCTTTATGGCTATTGGAACAGAAGATAATAGTGTATTTCAGTGACTGCATTTGTACACAGAAGCCACAAATCATTTTTTACTTGCTACAATGACTAGTTCTATGCACCATACTTTGTCAAAATCAAACAAACTACATTGTGGCTTAGGGCGATGCGTGAGAAGATAAATGATAATACTCTGTGATTATAGAATATCGTGAAATCCATGCCAAAAGGAAACACACTGTTCTGGACCAAGGTGAGTGAAATCCAGGAAGACTATTATAATAAAAAGTAAGGCCTCTTTGTCAATTTTTCCTTCAAATCAGCAAGTTTCCATTTGGACTGGCCTCCGGAAAATCCAAAAACATCATTTAAATTTATCTTTCAGAGATACATTGATAGTTCAGTTTTGCCTGTTGTCCTTTTATGCAGGAGGGAGGGACGAATAACTGCTTAATTTGACGCGCTCTTCTTGATGCAACATTTGCAGCATGCGGAAAATATAGTTAACACAGGTTTAGAATGATGGTACTAAATTATTACACAGTTGTATATTTACGCGACGGATTAAAACCAGGGCAGCCACGTTCCACTACTCCACCAACCCAAGAGAGGTAACACTCCGCCGCCCATACGTATTTTGCCACGCCCACAATCCTTTTCAAACCAATCCCAGCTCGCTTTCGCTCTCCTCCGGCCGGCTCAGGAGATGGCCCAATAGAGAGGCTCGGGCTCTTTTCTCAAAAAGAAGGAGGAGAGAAGCAGAGCAGCTCTCTTACTTCAAGGGGCTGCTGGCTGTTGCTTAGCTTTCCTGCCGCCGTTGGGAGATTCAGTGTCACTTCAGTGTTACTTTCCTCGGCGCGATCCAATCTCTCCCCTTCTGTGCCTGGAGCGAGCGAGGGAGTCAAATTGAAGGGAGTTTCGCAGGTAATCTGTCTTTTCCCTCTCCACCCTTCTTCGAACCGAACGAGCAGGTGGCGGATGCCCGGCCAGTCCTAGCCAGAGTCCTCCCGTTCTCCCTTCCTTTCTGCTCCGCATCCCTGATGTAGTGTAAGAGAGGAGACGTATTTCTTTGAGGCGAAATACGTCTACGGCCATGTTCTCTCTTCTCAATTCCTGAAACTGATCAAAGGGAACGGGCGTGCTTGGAAGAATGTATTGCTCAGCGGCGGGCTGAACAAAGACCAGACAATACAGTAGCCGCTTCACCCCTTCTTCCCTTTCGGTAGCTTGGCTCGCCTTAGTTTAGTCTGAAAGAAGGGTTATCGGAGTTAGAGTGTAGCTCGCCTCGTCTCTCTTTCAAATCTCTGTTAAAATATAATTTCGGTGGCGGACTTGGGGAAGTCGGAGAGTGGCCGCTTACCCTCCCCCACCCAGGGCGAGATTAGCACTTTTGTATATAGCTTGGATGAGTGGGTGAGGAGTGAGTTGTGGTTAACTGGTGGCTTGAGGCACGGTTCATAGCCTGGGGATATGCCACCCGAATGTTCCTGTTATACGATGCAATCGACTACCAGCCTCCTGATGAGAGTTACTATTAAGGAAATGAGCATAGCCTTAACTGCACCCTGTTGCTTTGCATCCTGCCACGTTCAAGCATTCCTTCTTAGGATATTTACCTGGGCAGTTCAAGCACCTGATTAAAGAAGAAATAATTGTTTCCATCATATGTCCCAGCCACCTGTCAAAGTGCTGCCAGAGGGACTGCTCCACCAATCAAAACCCAGTCTGCAGCTCTTGCAGGAATAGGAGAGTTACAACTGAAGGGGATGTTACTTGGATTTCCTCCCTGTGAAAGGTTATGACTGCAAATTAAAGCCTCTTCTAAAAGAATGCACTCATAATAACCCCAGGGGAATGGGTGGAGATGAAGCTTTCAACATATGCAAATTCACAATATGTCTTGCTTGCTATTCTCCTGCTTTGAACGCATCAATTACTCTTATACTTAATGAATCCAGATAAATCTACTTGTATATTAATATTTTAGATGGCATTCTCAAGGATAGAAAACTGAAACACAATTTATAACTTGTCTTGGTTTGTTTGATGGAATTTAGTAATGGGCATAGAAAAAAAAAGCAGTAGTAAAAATAGAATGTAATATATGTGGGAGTGGTAAAACTGTTGTTTCCTAAATTAATTTAGTGGTGTTATTTAGCACAAAAGAGGGGGATATTTTAGAGTTTTCTACGTGAAGCAAAGCAACTCTGGACCCCAAATCAAGATGCATAGATTCAAAAACCAGTCTTGACATTTTCTCATTGGGGCAGAAAAATCCATCTGCAATTCTCCCTCTCCCTGGTAGTGAAAATATAACATCAACACTGAAGTATCAAGTAATTAGCAAATGCTATACATTCATACTATTTAAAATTAGTAACCTCTTACCTAATGGTAACGCTAGGCAGGACCCTCAGTTTTTGTTAATGGTGGAAAGGACCTAATGTCATTGGGAAGGATGAGAGGTTATGTATACCTCAAGTGTAAAAACATCTTGGAGTACTCCTCACCTTAAACCTTTATTATATATGTGCACACATATCCCTTTCTTAAAAAAAAAAATAAACCCAGATCTTAGAGAACTAGAAGCCATCCTGAAGGAAAGGAGGGTCAAATATTATCTTTTATCATTTGAAGAGTTCTGCCTTCATGACGGGGGAAAAAACTTTGAAGCATTAATATTGTGTTGTCCTTGCAGTAGTGAATGCCTCGGTTTATGTTATGGAATGGAAAGATCAAGAGGGCTTTGAACAAACAGTGTTGCCAGTTCATGTTTGCAAGTTATTTCCTGAAGAGTAAACCTGGTTGGATTTGGTTGAATTAACATTTCACACTAATCCTAGACATTGTAATTTTATGTCAGTGGTGAACAATATTTAGAGGTCAGGGACTGATTTTGGAAATGGGGGAGGGGGTAATGGCTACTATGGGTGGAGCAATTATAGAAAGCTATAATTGCTCCACCCACAGCAATTATGTTATATATACGTGTTACATATACTGCATAGCAGTGTTTCTCAACCTTGACAATTTTAAGGCATGTGGACTTCAACTCCCAGAATTCCACAGCCAGCATTGCTGGCTGTGGAATTCTGGGAGTTGAAGTCCACATGCCTTAAAATTGTCAAGGTTGAGAAACACTGCTGTATAGTATTTTGTTTCTTTCCCATCTCTTGGGGATGGGTGATATTTATGAGGAGGTTACTTTTTAAAATTGTATTTTAGGTTTTATTGCCTTTTTCATGTAAATGCAGTGAGACACTGTTCTAATACACTTGTGTAATTGTACCACTGAAATTTAGTACTAAGATGAAAGAGGATTCCATTGACTGCATGTAGCCTCAGGTTGCCTGATCCTTTTCTTTGAGATAGGCTGAAATCTGAGGATCTGGATAAGCAAAGGCATAAAAAAAACCATAATACAAGATAGCTGGAAGGAATGCAAGTGCCAGTGAATTCAGCATCAAAAAACTCAGGTAAATGAGTAAGGCTTGAGAGAAAAATAGAGACGATGAAGGAAAGAATTTGAGAAACAGTCTCAACAAAAAGGAATCAAATTAAAAGTCAAAATTGAATATCACCAGTATATAAAATGTTCCCTTTAGGGTTATTATACAGTCATTTGAAAAAGTAAGTACAGACAATGTAATTTTTTTTTTAAAATGGACATGCCAATATTTTATCTTTATTCAAAGCATATACAAAGATAAAAGTGACTTAACTGAACAAAAAAAGCCAATGAAAAATTGACTTTGCAATTATTTATTCAAAAAAAGGGATAGGTCATTTCTTTCTGTGGAAAAAAATCCTTGATTCCAATAGCTGATATTGTCCTCCTTGACAAAAGAATCTCAAGTAGGTGTTTATAATAACTGTATACCTTCTCTGACACTGACCAAGAAGAGTTTTTTTTCATGTAGAATTTTTTTCAGCTGGTCAATGTTTGAGGCATTTCTTACACACAGAGCCCATTTCAAATCGTCCCATAGCATCTCAGTGGGTTTTAGATCTGGGCTTTGAACTGAACAGTCTAGAAACATTTTTTTATTTTATTTTATTTTGCTCAGCCATTCCCTGGTGGATTTTCCGTAATTTTAGAGTACTTGTACCTGTACTTTTTGTTAAGTATCAGTCTTCTGACAGATGGTCTTGCATTATCCTTAAGCTTCTTCTAGAACAATGAAGAATTCATAATTGTTTCCATGATAGGTAGTTGCCTGGGCCCTAATGCAACAAAGCAATCCCAAACCTTAACATTTCCAGCACCATGCTGTACAGTTGGTATCAGCTTATTCTGGAGAAATGTTATCTTTTCATCAAATATTTTCTGGTACTGTGGCCACTTGTACATGATCTTCTGAAATGATTGATATGCAATTGTTTAGCAATCTTTTTAAACCCCTTCCCAAACTCAGCATCGTTATAATATTCAACAGTCTTCTTTTTTGAAGGCCTCAAAGAGCTCTTTCACTCTAGTTATGGTGCTAAACACATCTCAACAGCAACAGCAAATAAAACTAAATGACTGAGGTTTAAATGAGGGATTCCTCCCAGATCCTTTCTAATAATGTTCTATCATTTGCACCTGGTCCAGTGCACCTGATTCTAGTTTTAGATATTTGAGTTAGTGATAAATGTAGAGATGTGGTTACTCTTTCCAAATGCAAAATGTGCATTTATATTTATTTAAATTGTACAATGGATTGCAAGAGGTAAATGGTGCACAATATTTATTACATTATATCCCCTTTAGGTACTATACCATTGTTGCTGAAATGATCAAATACCCGTACATTGAAATACGTTGAAAAAAATTCAGTGGGGTGTACTTAACTTTCTCACATTACTGTATATCCTGTTTTGGGATATACTATTGGGCTTCAGTGAAGTTGTTCAAGCTTATTTACAAAAAAAAAAAATATTGGAAAAGATGGCTATATAGATACGCAAAAGGTAAGTGCAAATTTGGCTATCTGCTACAGCTTGCTCCCCCTTTGCCTGGCTGAGTTAGTATCAAGCAAGTTCTGAAACCTACATTCCCCAGCTTTGTCTATATTTTCATCCAAGCATTTATTCAAACATTTGTAAAAAGCAGGTGAATCATATCACCTTTGCTACTGCCCAATCCTTTCTTGATCAGCATAATGAAGAAAATGACAAAATCTACATCATGTCATCATGAAGCAAATTCCACTCCTCTTTATGTCTCAGCATTGGGCATAAGAAAATAAGTAATTGGGTTTGCATTGTGACATGGTGATGCATGTGTTGCCATATTCCCCACCTTACCAGTGTCTAAATTGCTGCCCCCAAGAATGTGATCTTTAAAAGTATACTGCCTCTGGAAATGTAGTTTCCATATAAGGAGCACGGTCATTTGCTATTGTTCTTTATCTAATCACGCTTTTAAGATCACTAAGCAACCAACCTCACAGAATATGGAGATCAATTCTTGCTACAAGATTTACAGCCCCTGCATTACTATACTAGGAGATAACAGTCTCAAACATTAGTCCTTGATAGTAGAGAACAGCCATAAGATATTAGAGAACAGAACTGTGTATTAGGCTTGTGCAATCCTTTGGTAATAATTTGCCCAAAAAAATGTTTTGGAGTTGTGTGACAGCATCTTCTTGGAGTCATTTCTGAAGCATTGTAGCTGCACAGACGTATAATCGGTGTGCTTCCTAATCTCATTGTAGGTACAGCAGAAGATGTAAAGATGCTTTAAATCTTTAACAATGCTAATTCCGTTAACTTGGTCTTCTTGACCTCTCAGTGGCTTCCGATGCCATTGATCATGGTATCCTTCTGGAGCAGCTTCAGGACTGAGAGTGGGGGGGGGGGCTTGTACTATCCTAGTTCACTTTCTTCCTCTATGGCCACTCTCAGTTGGTGTTAATAGGATGAGAGAGAGCCTGCCC